CATATTTTTAGAATAATTATTTTATTTAACACGGAATATTGAAAATCGTCGCTTATAGATATGAACTTCTATTTATAGACATGAATAGTTATAGAACCAAATAGTTGGTTTTCTATAGATATCTGGAATACATTATGGTGTCTTGTATCGAATCTATCCTTTAATGAGTGAGCAATACAATAAGTAACCTATTTGATAGCAGCCAAAAACAAAATACAAAAAAAAAAAATATTGTATTGAGATAAATTTAATAGATAGTCTGAAAAATTTTCAAACGCATAACAAAATATTGTAAGAAACTTATTAAGAGCGTGTTCCTATTATTTATGTGATGATTAGTTTTATATAAGAAAATGTTTACTTAATTTTGTTATTTACAAATATGATTTTAAATAGCTTATAGTTAAAAGAGTAGAGGCGGCTTTTGATAAAAATAAACGTAAAATTACCTACGCCCGTGCTACTTTCCGCACCACATGCAGCTGACTCATAATATGCACAATTTCATATAATTTTTACATCATCGTCCAATATAATGTGTCGAAACATTTCTTAAAAAAAGGTCCATTAGTGTACTCAGAAAATAATTTATAATGATTAATATTATTCTTTGGAAGCTTTTCTATTCGACAATAGATAATGTTTATCCGTTTTCAAAAGTATGAATTTATTCAGGTATGAATAATTTCCAGTATACATCATTAATTTTCAGTGACCGGTTACCGAAACTTAGGGACGGCTGCAACACCACCATATTGAAGAAAAAGGGATTGTTAGCAATGAGGTCTAACTGCCTCATTCCTAATAACACACACTATCAGGACACACGATTTCTTCCGGAAACTATCGTGGTTAATTCTAATAGAATTCGTCAGGATGGGCTAACTCACTTACTTTCTTCGTTATCTATTATCTCTCACTGGTGCTTCACTACGTATATCGATAGCGCAGGCGGTGTTACCATTTCATTATCACCCATTAAAATACCACCATATGACATAATGAAAATTTTTGAAGTAAATACTGAAGGTAGAAGAATAAGACCAAGAAATAATATGAGGCAGATAGAAAAGATAGGTATCATGTAGACCAGAGGGAGACTTTGTACAAAAGTCGATTGCTTGGGTACCTCTGTCTCATTCGTGTTTCTACCGTGACGCAGTTGTATTTGCATGGCTGTGTTTCGGTTTGAAGGGTGGGATATGGCGTGAATTTACAGGGTACAGAGGAATAACATCTGAGTCCTCAGGAATGGCAACGCATGTGGGGTATCATGGGCGAAACAGTATACTCTGTTATGTCCATGATACTGCTCATGTCTATAGGCGACGGTTACCACTTTTCATCAGGAGGACCGTCAGCTTGTTTGCCATTCTAAGTTGTATAAAAAAAAAAACAGGCAAGTGAGGAATATGACATTGGACAAAGCCAATTGGAGAAAAACATATGATTTAATTACTTCGGCAACAAATATTAAAAAACTCTTAGATTGCGAAGACAAGATTCAAAATGTTAGTTACAGGAGTAAATATAAGTACTTAATTAAGTAATCACCTTTCTTGTTATGGAGTGCAAATTGTTACATACTTTCATAACCCAGTTTTAAGATTACATATTATTTGCCTACAAGGTTGATGATATGGAAACAAACTGTATTTGCTCGCCATGTAAGTCAGTATCTACGTATTAGTCACAACATAAAACAACATTGGTATAATGTATAATAGACCGAAGACAATACGAGGATAGCACCTAAATAGATCCAATAGAGATATAATTGATAACATTAAAAATATATATGTTTTAAGGAAGAGTTACTGATTATGCTTGAGAAAGGGATCTTAGCTAATATATCAATCTATGATCAAATCTTTGGAGGACATTATTGGAAAACCAGAATTATTTAGTGATTTATCTGAGTGACATTATGTACACCGAGCAAATGGATAAAACAAACAGATACAATTAACAGGTTAAGAAAACATGACACATGCATTAAGTCATACACAATCTAATATTAAATTAATAGGTCAAGGAAAGCAAACAAAAAGAAACGTAGCTAGTTATTATTCTGACTAGGATTTCTATCAGTTCCTAAAGAAATGTACAATCATAATCAGTGCTTTTTTTACAAATTGGAGGATAACTTTGTCTATCAAGCTGTGTAAACAAAGCTAACGAGGACCTTATTGAACTGTGACTGAGATCGATTAAAAGAATATAATACAAAAAGGCAATGCGAGAATAGTAAATAGTGTCTACGTCGACAGATGTATGTTGACATCCTTATTAATAATATAATCATGAAATGATTTTATTTGTTACTTCTTGGCGCTTTAACGGCTTAATTAATAGTAATGAAACTTGGCATAAATGTATGCACGCACGCATATATGTTTGGGATAAAAAAAGGAAATAGGCTATTTTTATCCCGGTCAATCAATATATTCTGCCACATGAGTGAAGCGGAAATACCATAATATGCTTTATGCAAGAGGTTCTATGAAATATAACAAAGAAAAGGATTGCTCTGTTATATTTGCCTATTATTTATTCCATAATATTATTTATAAAGACCTGGAACTAACAACACGGTTGTAAGTAAGAATTTTCAGCGGACTTCTACAAAATCGTGCAAGCGGATAGCGAGATAAATAATGGGTAATGATATCAATATATTAATGATATCAAATATATGGAGGATATTATATTAAAATTAAATTGAAATTTAGATTAGGGAAACCCTGATTGATGAATCAAATAATGTTTGTTCAAATTTATAAGACTATATCAGTAGGTCAAGGAAGATTTAATGAAAAATGCGTAATAACTCTTAATCATCTCAAAATGAAAATGCATTAGTGCCATGAATATTTTAAGTAACGAATTTTGGATATCGATAAAAGACATTTCCATGTCTTCTCTGTTGTAAAAAATGAGGTCAGATTGCGTCTCCGTCGGCAACTGTCGAACGGGGAGTGACCGATACAATCCCAGAATACATCGGTTATAAAGAGACAACGTTATAGACGTTCTCAATATTTGATGTTGTTCTAGATAATCTCTAAAGAATTATTTGATTGGATCATTAAACGTCATGTTATTTTAAGATGAGTATAGTACAATGCTGTTGAAGCTTGCGAGCGCTAACATTGTTTTTGTTTTATATCGACAGCTGTACTTAGTATGTGTTACTTTGTTATGTGTAGATTTAAACCTCTATTATGTCTATGTGTAAAGATCTCTGAAATAAAAATTAATGTATTTCAGAAACTTAAATGAATTTATACTGTAAAGGGTGTAGAGATGTCGCGACGTAGCGAATAGATCGACCGACGTAACCGGCTACGATTCCAGCGTCGTTTTGTTTACACCGGCAAATATTCATTGACATGTGAGCATCGTCGAAAGGGCGTGAATGTGAAGCGCGTACCCTGGTGACGATGAGCGGGGTGGCGAGGTCCGAACCGCCTACAAGCCGGAGCCCCCAGTTGGTGTCGCGGTTCTCACGCCGCAGCGTCACCACGAACGTATGCAGCCGCCCCATGTCAGGGGAGTGGGGTACGATGCAGAGGCGCGGGCGCGCGCGCTCGATTCGCGGACTAGTGAGCACGACGGCAATACGCGGCGTTGTGTGAGCAAAATTAGCCTCACCTCTAACTCCTCACCCTCCCCTCCTCCCGTGGATCTGCACCGTATGCATGTTACCCTGCCTTTGCAATCGACCTAATTTGCTCTAAGGAAACTGAAGGTAATTGATGCCTGAACAGATTTCCAGTATCTCCAGCAGCGGACGCGCGAGACGCATGTTTATTTATTTTAAATCGTTTGATGATCGGACGCATGAGACGTGACCTAGATACATTACTTTTTAGTTTAGATTTTAATGTTATTCGAAATAAATGCGTGGGAATAAATCAATATTAGTGTACTAATCGCACTAAGGTACTATGAATCCAAGTGAACTTAAAACACTTGTTAATACTTAAACTTATTTTCTGTACTCAGTACCAATTTTGGAAAGTGTTATATTTTTTTATAGTTCAAGCTAACAAATATTTGATATCATGATACTTATAAATTATTTGATCTTAATAGAAATTAAGACCAAATATATTTTATTTGGTGTTAATTTCTACTAAGTAAGCTTACTACATATTATATATACTTATAATTAATACTAAATTTCACATATTTGGTATTAATATCTACTAAGTAAAAGAACATAAGTCATCGACATAGCCCGAAGGATAAGAAAGCTGAAATAGTAATAGGTTGGTCACATAGAATGAAGAATCGACAACCGATGGGGAAGAAAGTCTCTCGAGTGGCGACCCAGTTTGTCCGTACTGGGTGGAGTCCGCAGTGTAGGACGACCTCCCACTGGGTGGAGAGACGTCCTCAAATACATTGCAGGGAGTCAGTGTATGCAGGTGGCAGGATCGTTCTTTAAGGCAGTCTATGGGGGTGACTTATGTTATAGATGCTATATTTATGTATAGCAGAGGACGGATAATGGCTGAGTTGACGATGATGTGATATTTCCTGACAAGTATAATCATAAGTACCTACATAATCTAGTGCCTAGGTACCTTAATAATCGAACATATAATATTTATACACGAATCATTACATGAAGTTAGTAAGTGGGTATTAATTACTTGTATGAAATAGAAAACAAAATGATCATATTGATATCAAAATGCCACAAAATGTATTTAGGTAAAAATATAATTTTATTAACAGTGGTGGTATCAATGGTTAATCTAGTAAGTAATTAATCCAATTAAGTACCAGTAATGTCTTAAGGTGCGTATCGACTAGGAGCATATACAATTACACATGTAACAAATATATTTAGTTATCTATATCATATTCGCTAATGTAATGATCGTTTCTGAGCTGTTACGTTATAGTTATATTATCAGTGATTGCTTTTACTAATTACGCACTTTTCTAATTTAAATACAACAAAAAATAAACTGAAATAAGACACTCACCCTTCTTCGTTGTCCAAAGTCTCTGGGTTCGTCGCCGGGGTCTACTCTTTGATGGGGAACGCGCCAAAACGGAGGCCTCTGATACATAGGCATCTTCGACACGTCTTCTTACACTAAACCACTGAATAAAAAGTAAAATAAATATTACAAATAGTTAACAGTTGCAAAAGACTCCGAACGTCATCGAGTTTATTCCAAAACTGAGAAGCATTGTTGAAAATCTTTCTCAGTTGTATCTGTTCTAATTTTAGCGATAACTTTCAATTAAAACCAGAGCCAAGGGGATAATCCAATGACTTCTGGTTGAGCAATGCCGCTAGATTGACGCTCCTATCTATATATTTTATTAATATGCATTTCTGGATAAAGTTTGCAAAGATGGCAGTTCGTTGTAAAAATGTGTAGGTAGACAGGTAACTCGAATTCTTATTATTTCTAGAGCAATGTTGAATAGCAATTAACATGGCATAACGATCTTGAAAGGTGAACATCAATATAATCATAAATCAAATAGAAAACACGGAACATAAAAAACCGGCGTTACGTGTAAATCACCGGAGTGGGGACTTTACATCGTTACGTCTTATGCTTACTCACCAGAGGGCGCGGTATATGTTTCTTGCTCGACGTCGTTCAAACAGTGCCGCTTTCTATTATCTCAAATTATTCCGGGCTACATAAAACTATATCTATTTTTTGCTTGCGGATGGCAGCGAACGGGCCGTCGGTTCGACGGGTTGTGCTTACAGTGATTTACAAGTCGGCAGCTACTCGCGCTGTTTCTGGGGCAATCCGAAATTCGCAACAATCCGTTCGGTTCAAATCCCGATCGCGGTTCGTTGCTCCCGAAATGACTGTTATTATGACGTATAATGAAAGGTTTATGTATGGAATGGGATTATTTTATGTCCGGGATTTCATATAAGGTATAATGGCTTGTTACGTTGATAAATTGATTATATCCTGTCAGAAAATACAATCCCCATATTTAAAACAAAACACCAAACATCAAATGAACTTATTTTTGTTATAGAAACATTTCGACTCCTTTTTTTGTGCAAAATCTTATGCTAGAGAGAAATTGACGAAAGATTGTGCAAATAAAATATATTAGTTTTTTTTTGGCTTTTTCATTTTTCCATTTATTCTGTTGTGAACTTGCCATATAAATTTGTAGAATTGTAAGTAGTAGATTTATATAGAAAAATAATACATACACACATACACAGACACACACATATATATATATATATATATACATAGTGATAAAAATCGAAAAGGGAATGTTGCATTGGCCATTTGGAGAGGATGGATAAAAGAAAAATTACGAAAGAGATTTATTGGGCAAGAATGAATGGAGATGTCGGTAGGGACCGTCCTAGACGCAGGCATGTCGACCAAAAAGGCATGTGCTGAAGAAGGGCCAAATTAACTGTAACTGGCTGGCCCGTAACTGGCGAGTGTGTATGAAAAGATTGATGTATATGGAAGAAGCGAATGAACAAACCGTTTGAATCGAAGCGTTTCCAATGGAACGCAAAATGCTTCGATTGTAGAATTTAAATGCAGAAACAATTTCTGCCTATTCTAATAGGAGGCAGGCGTGACAGATATATAGATTTTTGCCAGTAAGTGCAGATTACCACATAATTATGTAAATATAATGTTTTTAAAAGTATTATATTTAATATATACTATAGAAGAAAACAATGTTCTATTAAATTTAATGTATTCGAAGACTTCTTTATACTTACATTATGGAAAACAAAAATTATATTAAAACTATATATATCGCGCATACCGACCGTGGCAAGGTATTAATTTATTTTAAAATAACATACAATGCACTATTATAAAACACATAAACATAAAGTATAAATATTTAATTATACTTATGAGCTGTAAGAAAAATGTATTAAAATATATATAGTCAACTCCACAAGGAACATGTGTCAAAACAAGATCGTTTAACAATAATTTTACATTTTTATTTGAATTCGCTTAAAAACATTATTTGTAGGGATGCGATCCTGCAATGATTTATATTTATAGTTATAATTACCCACACTCTTTAAAAAGGTTTGCAGTATTTTATTAATACCATTATTGGATATTTATAATTATTAATGGTATTATCGTAAATGAAATATTATTAGTCAGATATTTTTACTAAAAATCTTTAATTTTGACAGCAGTATTAATAAACGAACACGATAGATAGTTTAAAAGAAAAACATCAAAATTGTTTTAGAATTGGCGAAGATATAACATAAAATGCATACAAATTCATAGTCGAATTGTAAACTCCTTGTAAACGCCACAAGGCGTTTTCTTATTGAAAGGTTTATAAGTTTGTTCCGTGTAAAGTCAAATATTGTAAATGTTCTGAATAAATAAATAAATCGGTTAAAAACCCATACAAATAAGCAAACTTAAAAGCATTTTATAATAGCAGTACAAATGGTAACTATTTGTCGGCACGATTTCGACATACCGGTAGGCATGCGCAATTCATATACAAAATAAACAATCCATCACAAATATGGCTGACTAGAGTAATGAGAAATGTATATCTTGGAGAAATTTTAGAATAATTATTTTCCTTATAAATTTATTAATAATCATTAAAGTTTAATCTTTTAATAGTCCAGTCGGATTTACCTGACAAAAATTGTCATGCCCGTAACGATATGTCGGATTTATCTGTCAAAGTATCTGTGCTTAATGTTTGACTTTATTCCAGTCTATTTATTTACCTATTACATTAAGACGGTTAGAAATATTTATAAAACCAAGTACAACATAAAAATATTTATTTGTGTCGGGCGCTAGAGGCATAACAATTGCTACAAATTCAAGCGTTCAAAAGATTAAGCAATAAAAAGTATCTTTAATGTGTTTATACAATGACTAATAATATTGTCTTATAATTACATTACATATATATTGAATATTATAGATTAATATATAGCGTGACAAATATTGTCGTGTTGAAATGGAAAATATGTATCAAAGATTCTTGTAAATATTATCTGTCTTCTATTGATCGCAAAAAGGAATTATACCTACATGTAGTTGCCATGAATTCAATAAAATTAGATTATATTACATTTGATAGATCTATGAGGTAAGAAACATAAAAAAATACAACAGAATTGAGAGCCTCCTTTTTTGAAGTCTGTTTTTGAAGAGAAATATCTCAATCTCTTATTTATCAAAATTTTGTTTTTATGATTACTTACATAAATTACAAATAAGAAAATAATGTTGCTTATATACTAAACATAAAGTAAAAAATAAAGTCAACAATTCTATATAAAAATTAACAAAGTGAAGCATAAAAGCATGTAAAAAATGTATATATCAATTCTAAACAAAATAATCTTAAAGTTAAATTAGAAATAAACTTTACATATAAATTCGAATCTTTAGGTAATAAAGTAACAATGTATAGAATAACCGACTTTGTACATATATAGAACAATTATACATATTATTCGATATTCGTCAGTTCTTACGTTATTATAAATCAGATCTAATATTACTTAGAAGTCTAATATAGCAGGCTTTGTGTCCCGAGCACATTTGATGAGCGAGTGCATTAGTTTAACGAAACCGGTATCTTTGGGTTTTTCTAAGCCGCGCAGTAGTCGATTCTTCATCACTGCCACGAATTCTCTATTGCTCAGTTGACCATCCACTGTAAAGTATTAAAATATGTACCCATATCTAAATGTTGTCTATTAGAATTGGTGCCAGGCGTTTTATAGAATGACTTGTGGATTGGAATAAAATATTTTATAAGCTTTGTTATAACTTGTGTGACAATTGATCATGTATATTCTTAGCAAGCTTAGCTTATTTTAACCGTAAAGCAGTTGTGTATGCATAGCTGTATTTCGATTTGAAGGGTGGGATATGGTGTGAATTTACAAGGTACAGCGAATGACCTGAGTTCTCATGAATGCCAACGCATTTTGCCATTCTAAGTTGTAAAAAAAAAAATACGGATTATCGCGGAATAAGCTGCGAAAAATAGGTAGAGACTGTAACTCACTGTTCTCATCGAATATAGTGAAGACTACATTGATGACGTGTGGGTCCAGGTCCACATGCGCCACGGTCTTGGCCACGTGGCGCAGGGTCGGCTGGTCGATGGAAGCGCCGGCGATGTGGTAGAAAGTCAGCGCGGTGTCCACGTCATTTATGTTGTTCAACAAGTGGAAGAACTTGAGGTAATCATCTTTTGTGATACCGACGCCGTGGTCTCGGAAACTGGAATTTATTATGTAATCGTTACTTTCTTAGGGTTTTATGAAATTAAGACAAGAATATGTTTATACTTAAACTATTTCCTAAACGGATTTTATTCCTTTTTTTTTAATATTCTATAATTTTGAATAATATTTATTGAATGTGGGAAAAAAATGTTCAATATCTGTCAAGAACGAAAGATTCAATACGATTAATACAAATTTAGATACGAATAAAAGTAATATTAAATAATATCAACTTTTGTAGACATTTTAATATAACAGCAACCATAGACACCGCCTAGTACACAACATATTAGAAGATAAACAAATTGTTAAATTGCTTACATATATAGTTTTTTTAATATATAAATAGTTTACTCACGCTTTTTTAACACGTTTGAGCATTCTAGACTTCTTTTTGGCGGGATAGCCTGCGTATGCTAAAAGCAATTCAGCAAAATCTGCTTCAGTAATACGCCCATTTTCATCTGAAAATTAAACGTTAAAAACATTATTCATATTGGAATAAATAAAATTTTATATATATTTATTCTCTTTACTAGATTCTTATTTAACTGTATTGTTAATTTTATAATTCGTTATATGTACGCACTCTGGTTTTGGACAGTTTAGACTTATTGCATGAAACTATCATTTTAATGTGAATAAGTTCACAATATTAGCTGTAATATTGTTATGAAGCGCGGGAGTAAACACTTTTGATTAAAAATATATCTACGAATTTATAACTATCCCTTTTAGAATTTAATTGAAAGGTGAATAAATTATTGGTTAATTAAATACAGAGCAATAAAGGATCTTTCTTGACTGATAAATTTTAAATTATATATTGGATAAACATTACAGAATTAGCTTTCAAAATTAAACATACCTGGTTGCTTTCTCTGAAATTCTAACGATAAAATTTCTTTTTGTAGCTGTTGCTGGAAATCTAGAAACTTTTCTATGGTCAATTTTTGATTGAGTTTGGGACCAAAGAAGTAAGTTGTCAGAGCTGAATTAATTCCCTGGGAAAATACAAATTGATCAAGAAATATATCGTGACGCAGACATTGTCTCATTTATCATTAAATTGCTTAAAACTCATTATTATTTGTAAAGTTTTTCTTTATAAATTAGTAAATCATGCAATCAAACACAATTCAAAAATGCTGTAACAAAAATCTGTTTTCTAAATAGTTTGCTCAGGCATTAGATAGTGGCTACATATTTATTATATGACTAGCTTTTACCCGCAGTTTCGTTTGTGTAACTGTTTTGATTGGTCTGGATTAGAGTTGCCATTTCCATAACTTGACAACTAGGACAAGACGCGTGAAAACCCCGAATTTTAGAGCCCAGAAACCGAAAAATCAACAGGCTCTTTAAACATAGTGTAATAAAAACAGTTGAAAATTTAATGAATCACCTTTTTGTTTATTTTCAGACATTAATATTAAATTTTGTCATTTTTTATCATCATTTTAAATGTACCTGACAAAACAAAATCTTATTACAGTTTGCTACAAATTAAATTACGCTCCGCCTGGACGCTCCCCGGATGCCCTAAACTAATTCAGGAAAACCCGGAGGGATGGCAACCCTGGCCTGGATAAACGTCCTTTATCATCGCGTATAGTATGACTAAATAACTTTTCCGACGATTGGTTGAGCTGTTAAGGTACCAAGATGTAATAAACAAACTTATTTTCACATTTATAATATTAATATCGTAATTACTAATAAGGACTACTTACTTACTAGTCATTTAATGGCGAAAAATTCACACTAAGCTGAATGAGATATAAATAGGTTGCAAAGGTAAGCTCATCCATATAACTTTAAAGTACTCACTCAAATCAGATGAATCTAGCGATGGGATATATATTCAGATTCTATGTCACACGGATATAATCGCGGAAAAAAATCACTACTTCAATGAAAGACTACCGTCGTTAGCAACGAGTTGCCTATCTCCATCCTTATGTTATTTGGGATTACAGTGACTACACCATTAGAATATCTTGTGTGCATATTTCTTTTTCTAATAAAACGTACTTTAAAAGTGTTTCCGGTATTCGCGTGGTCTCTGTGCCGAGAGCCGATACTGCTTTGCTGGCGGATGAGAGCTGCCACCTTCTCAAACTCCTCGCAGTCCACATCACCGTCGCCGTTCAGGTCAAACATCCGGAACGCGATTTCGAAGTGGCGACGAGATGCTGGTATTAACAAATTACACATTAGTGTAATACGTAATAACCTAAGGAAATAGGAAACCTAAGGCTAGCAATTGGTGGCTAGAGGACCCATTGCGAGTAATATATCTTACCAGATTATTTCTACACTGTACTCTACTGGGAAACTGTCGTGAATAATTTGCTGGTGAATTAGTTGTAGATTACTCAAATCTAACAGTGGGACGTTGCAAAATTGTTATAATAGCAATGTATAACAGAAAGAAATAATAGAAGTAAAACATCTACTTTTGCTATCCATGTATTACAAATATAATATGTAGGCAGGTGTTCATAGGCTACAGTGACCGTTTGGCTTATATAATTATTTGCTGCTTTCGTAGTTTTAAAAAATAATACGTTTGTAAACGTTTCTAAAAGTGTTTTGATATTTGTTATTATACTAGGAACGCTTAAATAAACGGATATGTAGAATTTGTAATGAAATTTGATGGATCTTTTTTATCCTTATTCGTCCGGAGAAGATGTTCACATATAATATGTAAATATAGCTTTACATATAAAATATATAAGTTATATAATATGTGATGAAAACATAAACTTTTGCATAAATATATTAAACAATAGTATTAGGTACTTTTAGAATTGTTTTAAAGTTTGTCTTCATATTATTGTTTCCTAATTTGCGATATTTATGAATAGACACATAAATACATATATATTTGCATTCCATAAATATACATGTTTCCGTTAAAGCAAAAATTTCTAAACAATATAACCCACTTTAGTGCAATGGCGAAATAGCTTCTGTCAGTTTAGAGATAAGTCTCGTGCGGACGGGAATACGGGATCATAAAATCATTACATTCGCTCATGCCCCGTGTCGAGTTCCCCGTCCCTGTCGGATGCTGCGTGCGAGGGATCGCAACAACGTTTCATCTAGACCATGGTGTGACCCAAACAATATTCTGTCATATTTTAAATAAACAAACTGAAACTGATTTATCTATTCTTAGAATTTTAATATCAAACATCGATACCACATGACGCGGCAAAATGTTAATATCTGTGAAACGGTTGCGTACGAAAATGAAAACAAAAGCTTTTCATTATTTGAGATGTGGTGCGAAGACCGCGACCTTTCTGTTCTGGGCGACGTTATACATGGTGGTCATGAAAATGACAATATTCAAGAGCAATGTCAATACACCAGTCGTGAGGGATTGGTCAATAGTACCTGACAATTACACCAAATGGCTGGTAAATAATTTATTAGTAAACAATGATAGTGAAGTGCGCGAATAACGTACATAATATTTTTAAAGTTATAATTAATTTGTCATATATATAGAGTTAGGTACATTCATTAGTTCAAAAACTCGAGATGATGAGGAACCACATCGGTTTTCAAGATATTTTCGTTATGCACAAAAAAAAAAACATATATTTAAAAAGCCTAATAGATAACTTTCGTAAATAGAAGTGTATCATATGGTAATATCTACATAAATATTTGTAGTTAGGACAAAAGCTGTGGTTATATGTGGCTTTGTATGGATATGATTATGGTGGATACGATAGGATTTTAAACATTCTTTATACATACTACACAGACAAATATAAACAAAGATTTTGTAACTTTATATTTTAACTTGTATAATAAAATGGTCATAAAATGATTTTAATTGTGTGAAAGCACTAATAAACATTAAAGGTTATTAAATTATTGTCCTATCAAATGACAATCGGTGAAACAGAGTAATGTACGTAATTTATACTTTCCCATTAGGTTTGTAATCGAGCAGATAGGTACAAACGAGCGCCAAGTCTCTTTCTCGCTTTTATCTTATAGGAATGTTATGTTAAATATTATTTTTTAAAGTTGTAAGAAGCGAACTGTTGATTTTTTGCGGCAGGGTTGACAATCTTTTTTAATTAGTGGCGATAAAATTTTAACTCCGCTTATGCTACTGGTATATGCTGGCTGGAAACCAGCGAGTGATGATAGGTGAGGATTAAATTAGATTAGTCGTTTCATCGTGCTAAATTTATTTTTGATATCATAGGAGAAATAGTGTACTCTGTTATGTCCTATGGTACTGCTCATGTTTATAGGCCACGGTTACCACTTTCCATCAGGTGAGCTGTCAGCTTGTTTGTCATTCTAAGTTACATTAAAAAAAATCTAGGAATTAATCACGATGGTTTCCAAAGATCGCTCGAAGGTACACCTGGTAGGGTATATTACTAGTATTTACTAGTAATGAGGCCACTAGTCGACAATGTTGAAGAAAATCAATGATTATTGTTATACAAATATGTAATTTCCAGTTACAAGGTCCAGTTCTAGGAGACGATGAATCAGACACTTATCCCAACAACGTGGAGTGGATGGAGCCCGATAATGCCACAATAGCGGATTTGGAGAAACGAGCACAAAGAGTACAAGACGTATGTCGAAAGAGATCTCTTCCATCCAAGTCAATTAACAGCAAAGAGTTTTTTGTGGATCATGCTCATAATCTTGTTTGGTGCAATATTTTTAAGGCAGCAAGTTCATCGTGGTTATATAAATTTAATATACTTGGTAAGGATAAAGGACCACGTTACAAAATCAAAAGACAAACGTTTTAAATTTCTTTAACTTTTTTTTTTTTATTTTAGGTGGTTATGAGAAAAAATTTTTGGCACGAACTCGACAAACACCACTCATGCTAGCCCGAAAAAAGTTCCCCAGACCTAGTGAAGAAGAATTACGAGATGCAGTAAATACACCGGGTGTCATTTCCCTTTTGGTCGTACGTGAACCATTTGTTCGTCTGTTGTCAGCTTATCGAGACAAATTAGAAAACATTGCACCGCCTTTTTATAGGAAATTGGCAAGGGCTATTGTAGCAGAGAACAGAGAAAAGGCAACAAAAATTTTTGGACCGATCAAAAGTTTTGGTCCTACGTTTTATGAATTCGTAACATATTTGACTAAAAAATTTAAGGACAAAGACAAATCATTTACTTTTGATGAACACTGGGCACCATATTATAAATTTTGCTCTCCATGTGCGGTTAATTTCAGTGTTATTTCTAAAGTGGAAACATTATCGAGAGATTCAGCATACGTGATACAGCAACTGGGACTGGGCCACGTGTTAGGAAGTAAAGTCAATGATAGAAGAACACGACTTCGTACAGTGATGAATAAATCTAAAGATGGAAAAAATACAACCGCCTTAATGAAACATTACTTTAGCCAGCTCGATGAGCAAATGCTTAACGATTTGTTGTTAATATATGGTATAGATTTTGAGATGTTTGGATATGATCCTAAAGTTTATAGTCGTTATGTAAGAAAATAAATTCTATCTTCTATCTACATGGAGTTGTTTCTCAATAATTCTAGTAAGTTTTTTAGACATCCTTGAAAACTATGATCATTATAATATCAGTCTTTATCAGTCCACTGCCTTCCCTATGGGGGGGGGGGGGGTAACTAGTAGTTGCAATGCTTGGCAGGCGGGTTGACAACTGCATACAACTGTTAGGATTTGGTGTTATTTTAAGAGTGAGAGTGCTGCCCATCGCTCGACCATAAATTTCTTTACTCGCCTCTTACGTCATCTACGGGAAAGATTCGAAGGTAGGTTGAAATGATGATGACAATAAATGCTTCATACTTACTGGACAGCACAGTTAGAAGAAAGATGTAGTCGCTAAACGTGATGAGTCCCGAAGATCCAAGTTTATAAAAAATTGAATCTTCATCAAGATCTAGGTTCAGACGTTGACTGATGCTCTGTACGTAGAAAATAAATCATACGTATTATTTCAAATGCTAGATCTGAATTAAAAAGCAAAAGAAATCTACGCACCCAAACACAAAACTAATTCATGATCAATCTAATGAAAAAAGTGATCAGTCCCATAACTAAAATTTGCTTAATACTATTGAAATGAAACCTAATATTAAATAATGCAGCGCGGTCGTTTACTGGATTGTAGATATTATGCTATCGCTTATTACAAATAAAAATAGGAAAAGTAGTGATCGATCAAAATAGAAGTTATGGCTATGACATGTTAATACAAAGTAAAAGTGAGGTAATAAAAAAGGAAAATTTAAAGGGCCATGCATTCAAATAAATGCATTAAAATAAAACTTTCTATGCTAAACAATTCAAATGAAATTGATATAGATTAAGAGTATAAGCAAAGTGTCGCTATAATTGGCAGGCAGTCTACACATTGAAGAATTGTGGATTTATTATTTATAGTAACGGTGTTCTCTAATTTAGGCAATTGGTACATTGTGGCCAATGAGAGTGATATGAGCAGAATTGGAATCAGGGATAGTAACCAATTTAAAAATTGTGCATAGTAAAGAAAAAAAATTACAAATTGAGAGCAGTTGAGATATAGGAAGAGATAGACAGTACCTCATCGATGTTCTGAAAAGACAAGAAAGTGGTGTGAGTGGCTGGAAGAAGGTGCCAGTGCGGAAGTGTTTGATGGTAATTTAAAAACAAGCTACACGTGTTATTTCATTGAGTTTGAAAACACTTTTAGGGGTACTAAATTCTTTGTTAATTACAAATATTTAAGATTAAGAGACAGGAAAATGAATGAGCTCATAAGATTTATTGTATTTTTTCTTTCTGTAATGGGCTCTGCTTCCGCATGTTTGCAAATGTGAAAAGAAATAACTCAATATGATACTAGTTATTTTATTTCTACCAATCATGTTGACACTATCGTATTATTTTAAATTGCCACATTAGATGGTTCTCGTTCATTTTTCTCAGTCGTTTTTTGTCCTTTTAGAATATCAACTTTAATACAATTCCCTCATTTTTCCTTTGATCTTTTCTATTATTGTATGTATAATTAAAACATGCAATAAACAAATAACATTATTAAAAAAACATCAAATATTGGTTTATAAATATAGAAATTGTTTAGATCACATTTCCAAATGCCTATCATATTATTTAACATGTATTTATTAATTACAATTTCTAAATAATAAGTATAAATCACTTATATACGATGGTGCTTTATCTGTGTGACGCGGAGTCCTATTTTTTGGTCTTGATAATAATAATAATAGAATATAATAAAATAATTATAGATACTATATATTAAACAAGGTTACCTTAGGATCATATCTTCGGTACTGGTCAAGCCCCAAACCTGTTGGTAAAAATGATTTTATTTTAATGTATTAAGTAAGCAGATACTTTATTATTTTTGTCCACATACTACGGGATGATACGAGATATGTCCTTTCATGTTTTCTAATTGTTAGTTAATTTTTTGTTAGAACATTTATTTATATATTTATATATATATATATATATATATATATATATATATATATATATATATATATATATATATATATATATATATATATATATATATATATATATATATATATATATATATAATATATATTAGATTTTTAAAGTTGTTGGCGGGTTCTACAATTCTAATTATCATAAATACTTAGTTATTAATTTTTGTTTTATACAGTATTGTAAGCTTGTCAAGCCGTTAAAGTAGCTTAGGGGAAGTAGTAACCACCTATACAAGTATAAGAAGTATCAATATTGCAATACATAATTCATTATGCTACCAAGCACTGTTAATCCTAAGCACTACCCACTCACACCGAAACAGCCATGTAAATACAGCAGAGTTGCGACATAAATACGATTGAGGTTGAGGTACCTGCGATTAGTTTTGTATAATAACATATGTAATAACTATATAATACATGTAATTATTTGTTCTTAATTATTCTACATGTTGACAAGAGAGAAATTTAATTTTGACTTGGTTCATACACCGGTACTTTATTTATAAAGTACTTAATAATTTTATTATCATAACTTACTTAAAAATAGATAAAATTACCATCAGGTTGTTTGACACCAGGGGTCATTGATCGTAGAAAATCATCAGGCGTCATGAAAACTTCATGTTGATCATGATGCTGAGCTTGAAGAGTTGCAAAGTATCGAAATACTTTGTCTGGTGTAGAATATTGACGCATGCGATTTTCATATTCAATAATCTATCCAGCAGCGTTAAAGACAAAAGAGATTTGCGAATGAAACATACATATATGTATATATTATTATTATTACATTATGTTTATAAAAAAAAATTATGATTTATCAAATAAACACGTCCAACTTCTCAACTAAATTGTTTTATTTTTAATTAATTTTAAAATTATAAAGATTTTTAATACCATATTAACTAGTAGGCTTTATAAAACTATATAAAATTATAAATGTAATTGATGCTAAAAATAAGGAATAAAAAAAAAATAAAGTACCAAAATTTTTATTTGTATCCTACATAATTTTCAAATAACAAAACAATTAGTCAAGATTAAAATGTGCTATCCCTCATATAAAATTGAAACATTTTATTAGCATACAAGTATTGAGGGGGAAGGGGGCTTGCAGATCTCAGAATAGTTGAATGTCCACCCCAGTATCCCAGTGAAGCTTTGCAAAGATATGTCTGAAAGTACATATCTACCTTTTTTAAGGAGCTGGGCCCATCTCCTTACAAAATAATCTAAGATATGTTAATGTTTATTAGGCAAAAGAATAATTTTAAATTAATATGTTGTTCTGATGTTAGGTCCTTTCAAGAAGAATAAAAATATTGCAATATCTTATCAAATTTTGTGTAAAGTCATGTTTACAGAGTCACCTCCATCAATGATCAGAAACATTCAAAATGTTTGAAATTTGTCAAATATAGTAAAAATTTGTAATTAGACAATATATATATTTTTTAATATCTTTCAGATATAAGAAAAAAATAATAAAGTTTTATTAAGACTAGTAAATGTCAACACAGCAGTTTATTGAAATTTTGTTCATCTTTTTGTATGCATGTTTGCTTTGGAATTATACAAAAAGTATTGGCCCATATTAGATGTGGATGTGTATGTGTGTGTGATTTCCCCATTGTCCAGGACCATCTAACTAAAAATATGTTGTATATTTTACTACTTTTATATATATATATATATATATATATATATATATATATATATATATATATATATATATATATATATATATATATATATATATATATATATATATATATATATATATATATATACAATTGAATAAGCAGTAGTAACATTCTGTTAAAAGTACATATAAAAGTAAAAATCAATTTAAATTGCTAGTATTAGTGATATTAAAAATTAACACAACACAAACTAAAAAAATTTAGTACCACACTAGAAATTGTATGTGACCTGTCACCCACAACATGCAATGATACGAAAAGTATACTAGTATTATGACCATTTATAATGTTTTAATTATGGATTTCTCAAATAATAATTATCATGAGACACACTGTATAGTAATTATTCATATTTGCTTTATAAACCTTTAAAATTGGTCCCCATACAAGCTCTTATTTGTGACAGTAGATCACTGTAGTATTGTAAGTAGTACAGCACTTCACTGAGGAGGAAAGGGATTGTTAGTAATGGAGACTGAGAATCCAACTGCTAGCAATATACCCAACCAGGTCAACTTCCTCACGGTTCTCCCTGGAGACTATCATGGTTAATTTCTGATGGGCTAACTGACCTGTTTTCATTCTCATCTATCACCCTTCACTGGTCCTCTGCCAGCATATCCCGTTAGCGCAGGAGGGGTTACCATAACATTTCCACCCAACAAGCACTTTACTCAGACTAGTTAAATATTCCAGAATTTTATGTGAGAGTAAAGCAAATATAAATAATTTCAATTTATAGGCTGCTTAATGTGTAATTAATAACATCACAAAAATGCTTAATATACTAAATACTATTGAAGCCAAATTTTTGTTATCATATATATATATATATATATATATTTTCAGAAAAAAATTATATGTATCAACAATGGGTAATGTTGATTAATGTCACACATGAAACTAAACATAAAAAAAAATGCAAAATAAAACAATACCATCAGGCTGTTTCATGCCAGGTGTTATAGCTCTTAAAAAGTCATCAGGAGTCATGAAAACCTCAGTGGTATCTCCTAAGGATAATTTCACAGTTGCAAAATATCTGAATATTTTGTCAGGTGTTGAGTATGACCTCATACGATTTTCATATTCTATAATCTGTGTGAAAATAAATATTAAAATAAACCATCAATAACTAAACCATATTTAACAATTTTCCACAAATATTAATGAGAGTTCAATAACTATTGTATTAAAGTAGGATGAGAGATGAGGACAGTTAAGTAGAGAGACCATTTAGTTGGTTAAAAAAAAGTAAGTATGGGGCTCTAATAATAAAATAATTAAAAAAAGCAAGAATATACATTTTAAGCCTACCTCTCATAATTGAAAAATGTATTTTTACTTAACTTCATTCTTATTAAGGTATTCACAACATAATTATAAACTTTGTTTTTAAAAAATCCATTCTATTATCTTAATAAGTATAGGGCGTTGGGAATAGTTATTAATAAGTATATGAAGTTGGCAGTATTTATACTATACTTATTTATTAAAACAAAATTATGTAAAGGACAAGCTTATATTTAATAGATTTCAGATATACTGTAAGTATAACATACCTTCCTGTCTCTAAAGCCTATCTTTTCTTTTCTGTATCGTTTCTTTTTAGTATCAGTTTCATTATCAGATTCAGAATCTGAAATTTCTTCAGCTGCTGTTATAGATGGCAATATTTGATTTCTCAACCTAAAGTGAAATTTTTAATACAAAAACACTTTAACATTTATATTTAATACTGATATGTTGATATTAAATTTTATGTATTAATAAGTTGTTTACCATATCCTATAAGTGGTGTAAGATATAGCGCTGAAAAGGACAGCGTAGCATATGTATTTATTAGAATATCGACGCAGAGATTCCCAATTGCGAACATTACTATAATTCCTGCGCACTTTATTTGAATTATCAGAGGGTAATGAAACAATTTTAGCACCAATTTGAAAAGATGAAAATTTTTGGAATGCCTTTATTTCTCTAGGTATTTGAAGAAGGCGATTTATTACACAATACATTTTCGTAAAGTGAGAATATATGAGTGTCACTTTTAGTCTAGAATTAACTTCTTAATCATAATATAGACTTTAGAATATAGAAATTAATTAAATGAATATTAGAAAAAAAGTAAAAATAAAATTTTGATTGATATTAAAGTGTTGACTGATTGACGTTTTGTCAAACAGACGGAGCTGTCTAGAAGACATTAATGACATTGAGTGTTAATTTTTTTTTATAAAGATTATTAATTATAAAATCGTTCAATAGAGGCACGACAAACGATCGCTTGTTAATAACTTTTATGTCTGAATTGGAAATGTAAATAAATAATAAATACTATGTGTAATGATATGATGTTATATATAATGATATGTAGTATATTTTTAGTCATTATATTTTTTTACATATATATTTTTTTAATTATTAAGTATTAATATAAACCTACGTGGTTTCTGAATGCTAATGTAACATAAATTCTGTAACTTGTATTTTTATTGATAATAAATAAAAAAAAATAAAATAAAAAATAGTTATGCTGGTTTTCTCTATCTATGTTTATAAAGCCTTAATTTATGGCGAAAAAATCTCTATAATAGACAATACAATTTATTTATGGTCAACTGGAGGGCATAAACTGCAATGCGTTTTGTGAAGTTTAAATTTTTGTCATAGAATAGAACTATCAAAATTTGACGGCGCTCGTCTGAGATTCCATTCGAATAGTGTCAAAGGTAAATATAGTCGAAGATAAAATCCTATTAGGCAAAATATTAGTCTGAGTGTCTAATTTCAAACGAATTAATTTAGTAATAAGTGTTTCAAAGTGTTAGCGTTCGTATTTCTATGTCTACAAAAGTGAGTTACATAACCTTGAATTGAATCACGGGATTTCAGTATTGATCAGTATTTTTTATTGTTGAATAAATTTAGAGGATTTATTATCAGGTATGTAACAAAATATAAAATTTTTGATAATATAACTAATTACCATAGCTGTTAACTGTACTTACTTTTTACTTATGCATATCATTTCCCTATATTTTTTCTAATGTCATTGGAAATTCGAAAGAAAGCTGTATTTGTTGAAAATAAAATTTTATAGAATCGTTTCTAAATCAAAGTACTTGTATCATGATAATTATCATTGGGTGGTAATACTTCTATTGAACTATAGCATAATAATTTTCACCTCCTTTCTAATTTTTTCGTTTAACCTTAGCATATGTGAAAATATATTCGATTTTAAAAAACTATATTTGAAAGTTACATTTAGCAGCAAAATTGTAATTTTGATTTGAAATGTGTTAATTAAGAGGTAATTTTTTCCATAACATTGCAAAATCTCTTTAATTTTTATTCATATTTTGTTTGTAGTAGTTAAATTTTACCTTTAATTCGACATTTGGGATTATTTTTATTTTGTCTACCCTAATGATAGACTAGCTTGTATGAATGAATGTAGATTAAATACTTTTATTTAGAAATAATGATTATTATCTCCTCCAACTCCAAAAAGAAGGAGATTCCCAATTCAGTTGTATTTTTTTTTGTTTGTTACCTCATAACTTCACCAGTTGTAAACCAATTTGAAAGATATTTTTTTTTATCTGGAGGGATTTACTTATGGATTGGTCTCATAGAAATTTTATCAATTCTGTTTAAGCAGTTTAGTTTAAAGTCAAAATAACTAGTTTTGTGACGATTGAAGTCTGTTTTTTTTTTTGTGAAAAATCTTATAAACAATTTAAATTAATATTTTAAGTATGCAAAGTCCTGATTCTATATTTGATTGAAAACCATAAAATATGTTGTAGATAAAAACTATCTTTTATAAAATTTTATCTCGGAAACATGCATTTTTAAAAACTTGTAAAAAGTAATGTATTATCTATCTGTCTATAAAAATTTTTGTGTGTAATATAGTCAACTCAATGAGACCTGGTGTGCTACTTTAGTTCTATTATTTCTCACCATGTTATTGCTATGACTGAGTCTGCATTGGCAGTTTTCATTAAAGTATTACACTATCTGTGAAAAAAATTGTTTTGTCACAGTTCAATTAAATTTTAAAAGGCTCCTCCTCCTTGAGCTACATTGTTTGTTAGTTAATTTAACATGTGTACAAGAATAGATTTTTTTCTAAGCAAAATTGAAATGATGCCAAGTCATTATATATTGTTAAGTTAGTGCACTTAAAATACAAAATATATATTTAAATGTGTAAAAATGTGAATATATTGTTTTGAACTAATCTGTTATGCAACTCCTTACATGGATGAAAATGCAATGGTATTCACAGTTTTGCTATTTATGTTGTGAGTGGTAATTGGAAGAGGTATTTTTTTTCAAAGATATAAATAGAATGATGTCTTTGCCTGATTCAGCAGTATAAGCTGATAGGGTTTATATCTCCTGCCATGCCAAGATAGAGTTTACACCCAAAAAGCTTTCCCAAAGCTAGGCATGATTTTTTTTAAATGGTGAAAATGAAAAACCTTCACTATTGGGTTATACTTGTGGGCACAAAGGGGAGATGATAGATGAGGATGAAGTAAAAAGTTTATTACTATGGTTTCCAAAAGGATGAGAATATATTGTTAGCCTTGATATGGTATTATGCTAGTGTTTAGGTATTTAGATCTCATTATAATCTTATCTTTCTGAAGTGAGGCAAGTTTAGTTAAGATCCAGATAGTCCATTCAGTTGGCCCATTCTACCATCTTAAAACAGTTGTACAGGATGTATTGCAAAGTTTGCAATACATCCTGTATTGCTGGTAGTGGGGCACATAGGATTACCATACAGTGCTTACTTCCCTATATATTTTCACCATGTTATCATCAACAATTTACTGCAATTTTCACAGCTGTATTAAAGTTTATTAAAAATCTATATACCACCATAAACTGAACCATTTCGGGGGTGGGGGGGTTTAGTAATGCAGACTGCTAGCCCACTGCTAACAATATACCCTATCAGCTCTACCTCCACATGCCTTGATAGCATTGTGCTGAATCCCAGGCGTATTCATCTCAATAGAGTAACTGATCTTTTCATTATCTTCTCTCATCTTGCATTGGTGACCCGCAAACACTGTGCAGGCGGGGTTGCAATTCCATTATCATCCGTAAAAAAAAAAACTGAATCAATTCCTTCCATATTTACCATTCTTTGTACTAAAGTCAGGATGTTCATCGCCCACATCTAATAGTGAGAATGGGCTTCACAAAACCCTATGAATCTCATAACAAGAAAAAGATTGAACCACTCCAGTGATCTGGTGATGACTGTTAGTACAATTTTAATATATCTAATATCATAGTTGTTTTGAATACTTTGGGAACAAGTGCTGTGTAATTTATTTTATAATTTAATTCATTAGCTACTTGTACTTAGTAAATTGGATTAACTCTATATTAATATATAATAATAACTTAGCGATGTATGGTATATACATCGCTAAGTTGATGCTGGCCGAATGTTCTGGTTTTTGTAGAATATAAATATAATAATAGCATTAGTACATAAAGTACACAGATATCATTGCGTCATACAAGATAATTTCTCGACGAGCGGCACATTGCCAATGGAGAAAATGCGCATTAGGGGAAGTCGTCGTCAGGTGACTTAGGTCAGTGGTTCTTAAAGTTTTGAGGACATAAAAGATTCGTAATTTTTATTACTTTATGAAACTTAATTGTAAATGGAAATAAAAATAAATGATACATAATTATGAATTATACTTATAGGCATTAATTAAAACTAGGGTAACCCACAGATTTATTTAAATAAATCTACTCGAACTAATAAAGTTTGTTGTTACTAGACCTGACACGCTTGGGCGCTGACACAGAAAAACAGCAAATATGCATCGTGCTAGAGTTGTTCTTCAGGTGTCAAACAAAGTAGGAAAAAATGAGAGGTTTGCGTCATGGCTTCTCAATAAATCACAGGTTAGTAGCAACAGTTGAGAAATCCTTGTAATTTACAATTTTCTTTTTTATACAAGTGCAAATGGAAAATAAGCTGATGTGTCATTCCTGAAAACTGGTAACTATTACTTATAGATAACATTTCTATGGACAGCAGATAATATACTGTTTGTTGCCTATGTTATGTAAAAATTATATTTTAAATTAAGTCACTGTATCCTGTTTTGTTTCAGTATCAATGAATTTATTTTGATTCTCCTGATAGGTTTGGTTTGATTAAAAATAAAGAAAAGAAAATTTTAAGATCGTGAAAGTAGTTGAAGGTTGTCCCTCTGACATTGATATTGCATTAAATAATTTTTTTATCTTGTATGTCAACATTTGATAACATTGACCATGTATGCTTATCTTAGTAGGTGTTATCCCAAATTGTTTTTGTTATCATTATAAATCAGTGCAAAGATCAACCAATTTTTTTAAATGCATTTCATGTTCTTAGAGTTCATAGATCTTAATTTCTGCTGCATTATAAAATCTGTTTCAATTAATATACATGTAGGCCTTATCTATTATTAAGTACTGAGATTTATATTTTTAGAATGGCAAATGATGACCCATCATCATCATATCAGACTATCGTTAACTGTCCACTGCTGGACATAAGCCTCCTTAAGGGGTTTTGCCAGTAGTTGCTACGCTTGGCAGGTGGTTTTAAGAGGAATGCTGCTGCCCATCCCTCAACCATTAAGTTCCCTTAGTTTCCTCTTACGATACCCAATTACGGCCCAGCTAATGGAAAATAGCCATTGCCTACAGGTATGAACAAGAAAGAATCACAGAAGATACTGACTGCAAATGATTTTTTCCATTGAGATTCCTCTTTACAAAAATACAACATATATAGTTTAAAAATAATATTTTAAACTCTACTTAGGATTCAATACAATTTGTTTTTCACCTATGATTTCTTTGTTGTATAGAATGCCGCTGTGACAGTAAACGCCAGTAGGTGGAAAAGTTCCACAGCGGCAGAACCCTTCCTCAATGGCTCCAGCTCTGCATATGTGGAGACCATGTACAATTCATGGCTCTCTGACCCTAACTCCGTACATGCGGTGAGTAAATATTGTTGCCGTATTTAAATATAATAACAAGTAGAAAAAAGTGTTGTGTTCTTTTTATATAGGCTTACATTAATGAAATTATTTAGATATTTTTAATTTAACATAATATGTTTTAGTTTTTTATGGGTGGTAGTCGAGGGTAGTAGTTAAGCATACGGTATGTTTGATTATAACCACCTTAAGCGCTTATAAAGTATTTTTTTATGTAATATGGCACTGTAGAATTCATAATATTTCATATGACAATAACCTCGTCAATTTACTATAGTAACAATTTATGAAGTTGTATTTTTTTGTATCGTTTATTTGTTTATATATAATATTCTTTTCGTTTTGTTTTCTTACGATTGCTTTAGGAAGCTGTCAGTTGTGTAATTTTTTTTTATGAAGTATACTATAGTAGCAAATATATTGTTTGTATGACTAATTTCACACAGATAATGTAAAATTTTAATTTTAAATTTTCGCGTTTTTTATACATACATAAATTCACGTTAAGTCATATTAAGTCCCAATTATGAATTTAAATAAATGTAATATTACACGTCGGGAATAAATATTGCAATTTTTATCCGAAATTGTTATACTTAAATATATCGACGAAATACCTAAGATATGTATATAGTTGTTTATACTATTAGGATCTAGATTTGTATAGAGAATTTCATAACAATATAACAAATTATTGTCTCCTAAGGAGACTATTACATTATAATAGTAATATAGTATGTGACGTATTTATTTTACTTTAATTCACCTATTAGATATTTAGTCATGCCATATAATGTATGTAGTATTTACATATGCTAATACATCATATTTTAACTCATTTTGTAATATCTTCTTTAAAGACGGTAGAACTATTTCTTGAGTAGGTTCTTGTATGACGTCTTCGGTTTGTGACAAGCGTTGATTTTTATCATGATACATCACAATTGTTACCAAAAATAAGAATCACATTGACGTAATTTATCTTTTTTTTTTCTAATGACGTAAATAAAAACGAAATCATTATTACAGTAACAATTTACTTTGACAATAAATTCATTAAATGTTAATGTAGTATACGCATATACTTAAATTACGATGTGTTTTGAACATCTGATCAAACATTGTTTACTATATATTTTAGTACTGGTAATTTTTAGTTATTTGTGTCCCGTTGGAAACTGTATATTGTGTAGCCTATAGCATCCTCTTGTGCTGTCATTCGTGAAGATTATGTTAAAAATCTTTATAAAATTGTCAAAAATATATGTGATTTTTCTGTCAGACCATCATCAGATGTGGGTTATTTATTTATTACAGAAAACGTGCCTACAAATTTTAACCTAACAATAAAAATACATTTTCATAATTTCTTTTTTAAGACCGTTTAAGACCTTGAGCATTTGACACTTGTTCAATGTAGACAAATGCCAACAATATAAGGTTCTAATTACATACTTGATCAGTTATTGTGTCTAGACGGTGCACAGACATCTAAAATACGATTGGCTTTCGATATCGTATTGCAGTTCATAGGTTGAGTTGTGAACTTCTGATAGTTTTGATGGATATTCGGAAGATCTATAGACACATTTTTCATATCGCGCTTTTATGACAGTTTTGTTATAAAAATAAACAGTACATTTTACATTACTAATTCCATTTTAATATTAAAAATTTAAATATAAAGGTAACTTTGTTTTGTTTTTACTGATACGTGATCGAAACTTGAAGAAATCTGGTGATACCTCGAAATCTGAGATCATTAATATTGCGCTGTTGAAAAAAATCGGTTTCATTGTATTCTTTTAGATGTGATTTTGTTATAGTAACCATATTATAGTCGATTTTAGTTCCTAAATAAAAATTGAAAAAGAAATACCAACCAGGCGATAATGAAAGGCTTTTATCAAATTGTTGTATTTCCGTTAAGGGCAGCTATACTCTGTACACATATTGTTTACGTGTCTTTGCTAGATTACGTGATTCATGTTTTGACGTCATGATTACGCTTAAAATGTAGTTATTGCAAAAATGAACTTTATTTAAACCTCTATACAATACATTTGTACTGTAGTATCTGACAGTTACGTCAACAAGCGTTTTACAACCAACTAGTCTAGTATTTTCGTCGCATGTTTATGAATATTACCTTTAATTTGTGTTAGATCACTGGAAAGACGACATGAAATAGAGATCGTGTGCAAGGTCAATTTACGAGTGACTCTGAATTAGTTTATCTATCGAATCAACAACTTTAAATGTAACAATAACTAGAAATTGAAATAGCTATCTATTAAGCAGTTCAGAATGCGATTATATAAATAAACCTCATGTACTACTAATTAATGTTTAGGTAGCATATAGTAGTAAGTATACGATAAAATTAATTATTGTTGTGTATATTATACTGTACTTTGTTATGTTTATAATAATTATGCCAAGAATCGGAACATTGTACATGGGAGGTATTTAAGGAAATTAATATGGAGGGAATTAATTAGAAATTTTCTCTGTCTATCTATCTGTCTGTTTGACTCTATGTTTGTTCCGGCATCACACAAAAACTAATGCACCAAATTGGATGTGATTTTCATAGTTGTGTTCCTGAAGTTCTAACTTAAAAACTAGTATATATTTTAACTTTTGACACGCCTTTTAGAAGTGGTCTATTTCATGGGCAATAAGCTAGTACTACTAAATAAATTTATTTAAACTGCGGCTTAGATTTGGTTAAGTTTTTAGTAGTAAGTAATTCAAACAATGGGATTTATTTGCCTATAGTCCTGGGATGCATTCTTCCGCAATGCGACCAACGGTGCACAGCCTGGCGCCGCTTATACATCGCCTCCTAACCTCGCGCCATATAACAAAAATGAGGTACCACTCACAGCTCTCGTGCCTACATCTGGTGGAATGTCTTCAATATCTGCAGGTTTGTATATAAGGTATAAGATATGAATAGTAGTTAGAGAAAAATTATTAATATATGAAAATCATGTTTATCATAATTATTATGTACTTAAAAAATATCAAATCATAATTTTGTAATTGTTGTTTTCATATTTTAAAATGTCTATAACAATTGGCTGTTAATAAATTGATAGAATATGTATACGGTCCAGAATAAATTCCAGTAATATGTAGATATATTCAAGTATTGAATATCACTTGTATTTGTATGTTAAAATAGGTCGATTATAAAATGAGCCAAGTTTGTCTGATAATGAACAAACTATTGTATAGTCGAAAATTACAGTGTGATAAGTATACTTGTAGTAGGGACACGTTTTGTAATTATTTTGTGATTTGCAGGCTCACCTATCAATGAGAAGATAATTGATGATCATCTCGCTGTCCAAGCTATTATTAGGAGTTATCAGGTGAAAATCATTCATTATGATTTTTAAATGTAATGTGTCCTGTTATGACCCCGTTCCTTATTGTTTGCACATTTTGTTCAGTCCCATACTATACCTTTTTGCTAATAGTATCCCTTGTTTTGAAATCCCTGAATTAATAAGAAAAATAAAGTAGGGTATTTATTATTCTTTACTTCAGGATGTTTTACTGTTATTTTAGGTCCAATTATAATGTTTGATTTCATAATATTTATCAAATTAGGCTATACAATATTATTTACATATAATGTTATTTATAAGAGACGTGTCATTAAAGTCAGCCGCGAATCAAACAAATTAGGTGCGTTTTATCATCTTAGTAAATTTTTGTTTTCGCAGTTGGAAATTATTTTCAAGAGCTATAATCGCGTATAATTGTTAGAAACTGTTATTATAAATATTGGGAGACGTTATTAAGAAATTATTTAAAATACCACACATCACACACAATAATAAAAAAACAAGAGAAAATAATAATAAAAATGTGCATTCCATAAAAACAATTGTTTTTCACATGACAATTAAAATAAATTTATTTATGAACATAATTAGCAAATCATTGCAACTGCATTTGATGTGATTGGCAAGACTTCCATGTCCGAATTTTACTACACGACCCATCGACCATATTTTTAAATAATACAGATTGCCCCTTTTGGGCGCCAATGTAAGTATAATCCCACGTTGGGCGTCAGTGTATAAATAGTAAGCAGTCGTTGGGTCGTGGTGCTTACAATTTGGGCTAGTGATGACACGTGATGGCGGGTGCGTAACAGGCTCGCGGTCACCTGGCGGCCGATGTGGACCCGCTCGGCATCACGACGGCCAACCTGCCCGAACTGGGCATGCGCGCGCCCAACTCCGAGCTCATCATGAGGAAATATTTCAAGTTTGGTACGCAGGATATAAATGAAAATGTCGATGGAAATTTTGTTGAAGCAATCACTCTCGTAATCGATCATGCTGTTGAATTAGTTGAGCGCTGCATTGCGTGTCACTATTGTGTTAATAAGCGATGATATTATAACATACATATACTTACGCAAAAAATTTAGTCAAAGAAGGATTCTCTCGCCATAAAACATACAGTATATATAGTCAATTGGAAACAATTTTCAGTTGAACTTTAAATCAATATACTTGAGTGGTAATATTCAATGAGTTATTAGGCTACATTTATTTTTTACATTTATTAAAATGTATATGTTATGTATATGCTTATGTTTATAATATTTTCGCTTTCTACAACATCTAGTGGATTGACTAATTTATTTGCTGTAGCGTATATTTAAAGCATTGGTAGAACAAATCAGAAAACCCTAACAAGTGTTATTCGTTTTACATTATTTCAAAGCCTCAATAAAAATAAATTAACATATCTATGCTGCCAATCTGCCACTCTAGTGAATAGTTTTCTTGATACATTCTTCAACTAACAATCAAATCAAGACCGATCACAAAGAATTGCTAGTCTCAAGATAATAGCTCTTTTGTTATCTCAGTTATTATCAGAATGATTATTATTTAGGTGTGTGGTGAATGTTACCTTTATTTAGCATGCATTTTATTGTAATTATCAAAGTTAGGATTATTTTTGTTTAATGTAATTTGTAGTCTTTTATTAAATTTACGGTTTTTAAATATGCGGATCCTGTTCGTATTCTTTAATTTGTAATGTCATTAAAATATGTATATTGTTAGCATAATTTTCAACAATATTATTACTCACTTCACATTTTTTATATTTTCCTTATATGAACTGAATACAGATGCGTTCTGTTTACAATATTCATTTCCAAGAAATTATTATCATTTATTATTTAATGTACCTATGCTTTTCGATATGATATTGAAAAAACTCTTTTATTATGTTTATTTGGGAAATAACATGCACAATATTATATATTATATTGCATATTAACTAGTTATGTACTATATGAAATAGTCTCGTGGTCATCTTGTGGCGCAACTCGATCCCCTGGGCATCTCTACGGGTGATCCAGCGTCGAGTGGCGAGTGGCACGGTGATTTGAGAGCCTTCGCCAACGAGGCTGTTATTAGACAACACGTACGCTTCGGTATGGAACACTCTGTTCATGTATTGCGATTGAGGGTTAGCGGGCGTCACTTGGTGTCGCGACCAATGCATCTTCTGGCTATTTAATTTTACTACACGCCAGCTACGTTCGTTTAATAGTTCGCAGTTATCACTAACAATGGATTAATAATTTTAGTTTTAAATGTACCAATCATAATTGCGCGTAGCAACTGTAATTCGGGCTTATTAAGATATTGACTATTATTGTAATTTGGATATCCACTGACATCATTCTAATTTTCAATTCGCAATACGAGTTTCCAAACTGGTATAGGGTTATTAGCTTCGGTGTCACTTGCTATCTAAAGGGCAACACTTTCTTTATTAGTACTCTTTTAATAGTCTCTTACTTCGAAGGTTTCCGTCACTTGACCATTTGTCTAGGGCGGAGTAGTTTTTTCTCTTGCTTTTAGTTTGGTGCTTGGTTTGTAGTTTTATCTTTCTCGTAGAAACTATTTGATTTTTCTTTATATTACGGTGCTTGGGCAACTTTTTTTAGACGATCTTGAATGATATGAGTATATATTATATTAAAAGAAACGGCTAAAACAGTTATAATCGGCAAAATATAGATTTTTTCGAGCCGAATACGCTTCCCATATTATTTACTTTGTTAAATTGTTAGAATATTTATAAATATTAAACAATCATTTGGATATGTTGGATTCTAAAGTTTTACTGATTTTTGTAATGGACGCTTATTGTTTGTTCCGGTGAGCGTAATGTAGGCATTTTTATTAGTTGTCTCAGTTAATTTTGTTTACTTATCTCGTTTTTGACATAGTCTTTTATATGGGAAGTCCAAATCGACGAAATATTATTTTTATTACTTGACGCTTATTTTGGTTTAGAAAATTGAGACTAGCCATTTGTAAGTAATTTTCGGTCTTTCTGTATAACGTAGGTACTTAGTTACTAAAAAATTTAATTGATCTCACTAACAATTTAACATTTTAACAAAATCTAATCCATATATTTCGCTAATAAAATTTTAATTAGATAGAAAATTGGTACAAATAACTTATTGTGCTTCCTATTATAGCTGTGCCATCATATTCCTTTACTAGATTAAGTCTTGACCTATATAACATACATATTTCTTGCGTAATCAAAACAGATGGTAGCGACTGTAGGTTCAGTGTGGAAAAGGGAACTTTATAAAGTAGCAACTTAATGGAAAATAAAATTTAGGTTCTTGAACCATAAAAATATTTAATAGGTGTTCAAGTTCAGTTCAAGGTTATTATTTTATGAACTGTTGGCGAGTGAGGTATGTACATGAGATGCGTAATCCCTTTTATTTACGAGTATCTAACCTGTGAAGTGACTTAATATGCACGCAGTCCACCAATACCTTTTTGCTTACTTAATATATTTATATTGAAATGTTGTAACCTGACCTAACCGGTTATTTAAAACCTAATGTGATTTTTTTGTCAAAACTGTTTTTGTATAGTTCTTCAATATATTGGACTTTAATACTTGATGTGTATTTAATTACTAGGAAATATAATTGTTTACTAACATTATTTAACTTCACTTATTATTTCTTATTATATAATTTTCTTTCAAGAAACTGCAGAAATTTTTAATAAGTAATTTAAATTATTTTTCTGTAGCTTTTAACAACGTAATTATGTTTATTTTGTTCATACTTTTTCCGCTTTTTATTTATACGTCATTAGACCGATTATTCAACGTCGGTAACATATTGCATACTAAACAAATACGTTGTGAACTAAAAAACAGATCCGTGGACACCATGTAGCGAAACTCGACCCCCTGCAAATATCGAATGTTGTGAGCGGTAAAAACCTTCGGGAGATGATCCACAACAGCTACAGGTTTGGTAAGGAGAAAATAACCTGGCGCATAGACCCTGGCCGCTCGGTGTATCTCCATAGGTAGTTATGGCGGCGCAGTGGAGCTTCAATCAGCACTTTTTAACAGATATAATATCTTCAACTATATTATTAAGTGACAATCTTATCTAACATGGTTGTTCCACTACATCCCGCCCTTGCATATATTAATTTTTGATAGGTATGGAAGTGTATAACAAAATGAAGAATATTTATTATTTGTCTATTTGTTTTTGTAATTACGTGTCGTAATTTAGTGAAGTGCTAATTGATAATTGAACAATTCGATATTTAAAATGTAAAAGAGGGAAATATTTTTTGTTTGCAATTATAATTTTTTTTTATAATTTTTTTTTCTAAATTATTTTAGTAACTGGACGCCATAACTACGAACATGCACAATAGCCATTGATGTGTATGCACGATTTTTTCGGCTCGCACGCCACATGTCTATTCCATCACCACACCTTGGCTATATGCAACTATTGAATCCTATCACTGTATTTATTTATTCACAACTTATTTGTTGCATGTGATTTGGGCTAGATCAATATATATATGCATGGGTATAAACGTCAAATGGAATGTCTGTCTGTCACCCTATTGTTTTGTCTCTCTATCTTGTATGATAGATAAATATTGCTGTGTGGTAAGATGAAGTTTTGGTAGAGAGTGAAAATGTTTGACATTGACTAGCATTGAATGTCACGTGTACCTATTTCATCTATGTTGGATTGCGGCCAATAGATTGTTCGCAACATTATTTAACAATCGTGCTATCTTTAACGGCCTTTGGACTTTCAATCAAATATTTAAGAAAAAAATAAACAAATATTTTATTGACCACTACCTAGCGGTAGTTTTAATTGGGTAACGGTGTGATAATTGGGCTCTTAATTGAAACAGAATATATATATATTTGTCATAATTACATAACGCAAAATGTTGGATGCTAGTAAAGGGATATGATACGTCTACTTTTGCCTCGATCTGCTTCTTCAATATCTGCTTTCTGTATCAATCGTATTTCAACTGCTGGCTTATACTATTAGTTTTGGTGAACTTGTAAAACCCTTTCACTTTCATGCTGTTACATAATACTCAGCAAGTATTAATAGTATGTGCGGATGTCGACATCAGCATTTATGACTAATGAAATTAAGATTTAGATTAGAAATAATTTATTACAAGATAATTATTTCCTCAAATTTGACACAAGAGATAGAATTTTGCTATCGAAAGTATTTACTTTTTTAAACTCAGAATAGTTTAATGTAATACTGGATATAGTATATGTAATAATTGTTATATCATTTCAATACATCATATTGCTTCGGTTAGGTATAGTTTGGTATAATTTACCCTGAGTTCTTACGACATCTATGATTTTTTTGCACGTTATATGTACTTATATAAGTCGTTTAGCGAGGGAGCATTGTATGTAGATAATAAACTTTAACAAACCTTTTTCTTGTAATGTTTAAAGTTCTATTATTTTTAATGTATGGTACTTTCTAAATTTTTACTCAGTAGACTATTGCTTTAATTCATTACTTATGTTAGAACAATAATATGACAGAATGCTGAAAGTGAAAAGGTTGTGTATATTTTTTGTGCTGTATTTTTTAAAGGGAATAGTTGATATTCATACTTTCATAAGCACCTTTTTTTAGATGAAGCCGATATGGATAGGGTATTCAAACTGCCCTCCACTACTTTCATTGGCGAGAAAGAAAAAGCATTACCACTTAGGTAAAGTATTTTATAATATTTATGATTTATTTGTTTATATATTTTTTTTCAGTTGCAAGTTAAATATGATTAAAAACATTAGTTTGTCTACATTTTGCTATAAGATCTTTCAATTGTGCTATAACATCTCTCTTATTTCTCAACGGATAAATATATGGACAGAGATAGACAGATGAACAAGAATATTATTGTATAAAGTTTTCGTTTTTCCAAATTTGAGGCACGTAAATACAATATATGTATTTACGTGTCTCAAATTTTAGTTATAGTTATATTTAAGTAGGTACGTAGATATACTCGATACATTCTTTTGATAATGAATTGTGTTTATGTAGCTGTATAGATTTGAACGAAGTTATGTAAGTACATAGGTGAACTATGTTCAAGATTAATATATGATACTTTTTATCGAAACTTATGCGGGTAAACCCGCGGGATACAATTATGATAGCATCGTAGGTAAATTTGGTAATTAACTTCAATTTATCATTCAAACATTACGGTTATCGCTATTTAGAATAATTGTCTATACACGTATCAATATGGTTGTTAGTTACAGCTAACTACCTATAGAATTTTAACAAAAGAAATATACATATGTAATGCAATGCTATTTATGTAAATGCAAATATTTTTGGAGATTTTTAAAGAATGACTAGACAATGGAAATAGACAATTTTTAGAATTATTATTATTTTTTAAACGTTAGTAGCTATAGAATATATAATAGAAAATACTAACTAAAATATATTTTCATATATGGATGATAATATAATTACATTAAAGTTGGAATAGGATTTTGATTATTGTCACTACCAAACGGCAATTGTTCTGCGAAACTTATGCTTTATGTCAAGGTAGCCCCTTAAAACTACTTATTTAATCGCTGTTACGAATCAAGGTCTCATCTAATTGTGTTTTATAAACACAAATTTGAACGTAATTACTTTTTATACTGTTGTCTAATGACATTGGTGATGAGAAAATCTGTGTCACTATTTTTATATGAGTACCCAGAATATCGTCTCGTAAGAGTACATTGTCGTCTATTTGTAATTTAGGCTTAATCCTTAATAATACGGGCTGAAACAAAAATCATTAGTGTAGATACTTTTAAGGTCGTTTTCTAGAATTGAAATTGAAATTCAACGACAAGTGAAATCAAGAGGTAGAGACAAAATATTTTAACATCTGATCCTAAATATAGTTATTTAATTAATTGACGACTATATATATATATATATATATATATATATATATATATATATATATATATATATATATATATATATATAAAAAAAATCAATTACTACGTTAGTCATACCTACTTAAAATTTTATTTCTGAAAGGAATAATTTTCGTTAGAGTTGTATTGATAAATAAATCATGTAATTAAAATTAGTTGCATCCATGTAACGAATTATATATATTTTAGGGAGATCTTGAGCCGCCTGGAACAAGCTTACTGCAACAACATTGGTATCGAATTCATGTTTATTAACTCATTGGAACAATGCAATTGGATTAGGCAGCGTATGGAACCACCCAACGTAACTAAAATGAGTCCCGATCAGAAGAGACTTATCCTTGCACGTCTTACTAGATCTACTGGGTAAGTAGCTATTGTATAAATACAATATTGATGTTATAAATAAATGTTTGCTATATATAAAACATCTGGGTAGGTATGTAGTAGGTGTGTCTGCATAACTGAGTAAACACCTATTGAATAGCATATGTGACGTCAATGTTGCGTTTTTTCTGCGAATCTTTTTCACGATGAAAAGTATTTCTGACTAAGGAGGTTGGAAAAAGATTTTTATTTATTTATTTTATTTTGATTGTTGATTTGATCGCTTGAGACTGTCATCAACAAAAGATATTTGTCAAAATAGCATTAGATCGATGCTTTAAAGAAAGTTTTCATTATTAAATAGATCTATGAGTACTATTTATATTAGTCAAAATTAGTCAAAAAAAGGATTGATTTATTTAATTCGAAATACATTATGTTACTGCATAGATTTGTTATCTTATTTATGTATTTAAAGAATATCTGACAGAATATAACCTGTGCTGATAAGTATACTGTAAAAAATATGGAAATATTATATTAGTCACACCGTTGAAATGGTGGTGCAATTAAGTGATACAATGCATTTCTAGAAATTATTGATTAATAATTATTAATTTATATATTGAGACCTAAGTCCGACTTTCTACGGTTCGTTTTTGTATGTCATAGGATTGATGTTGAGTGTCTGTCAAATCAATATAATCACACTTATACTTTTGTATTAAGGATGTGTTCGAGAATATCTTTCCATTAAGATAAGATTACAACGATGTAGATTATATTGAGATCATGATAGATTGACAATATAATGCCTGCCTTAGTTCTTAATGTTATAAAATTTGTCATATATTATTGGTTTACGTGACCAAATAGGTTATATATAAGTATTGCTTATTTGTAGAAACAGTAGTAAGAGTATTGTTAAAATGTTATGGTATGCTGTTGTAATTGGATACACAATGAATTTAAATCCTTACTATTATTTCAAATGTGAAAATAAGTTTGCTTGTTCGTTACCTCTTAGTACCTTAGGCTTATTACGGCAATTACTACGAAATTTGGTATACGTATTGTATAGGATGGAGATATGGGCTATTTTTTATCCCGGTTAGTAAATATATCGGTCTCGCGGATGAAGTCGTGGATAAAAGGTGTCATATATAGTCACTGTGGATTAATTTAGGTGTAAATTAACCCAGTAATGGAAATAAAGTGAAAGTAGTTGCGATAAACGGCTTAACATATTGTCAGTAAATATTATTTTATGTCCAGTCTTGAAACAAGAATTTGGGAAATTACTCAATTAACATATTTGAACGGATGGAAATAGCCAACTCAAGTCACATGACAGGCAAACAGCAAGTAACTCAGTTGCAAACAATATTTATGTGAAACAGATGGAAGTTGATAGTTTTATGATTAGCGATGCACCATTTGACAGATTTAGTTACAAGCGGAGTTAAACGCTAACTAAAACTGTCGAATAGGACATGGCTTATCGCATTGCTTTCAACCCATTTTATTGTGAGGAATCTTAGCTCTTATTAAGTTAAATAAAAAAATACTAAGTCAGTTAGGTAACCTGAAGCTGATTGCACCTTAATTTTTATTGCAACTAAGCATTATTAAAGCCAATACTTTGATTTTGTAAGTAATTACAAAATACCTCTGACTTAAACGTGACGTCACATACTGCTGATGATAGTTATAGGAATACATAACAATTCTCTTTGCCGTGTCATTGGTGTTTAAGTGCTAGCGTGACTTGATACAAGACAGGGGCTATCTTGTATCAGATAGCGCCGGAGCACGTTGTATTACGATAAGGCTGCGACAGATCGTGTTAGCCTTATCGCAATATAATCGATAATGTTTTTAATGTTTATAATGTATATATTATAGATTCGAGAATTTCTTGGCAAAGAAATGGTCCTCGGAAAAGCGTTTCGGTCTGGAGGGTTGTGAAATCCTGATTCCTGCCATGAAGCAGGTGATCGACGTCTCTACGCGCCTTGGTGTTGAATCCATCATCATGGGAATGCCTCACAGAGGTATATTTTTAACACAAATAGAATCAACGTTTTGGTTTCTTTCCTTTTGATTTAATTCAATTATTATTATTGATTTTTTATCTTAATTTATAACTAATATAGAAATATATTCTCAAATAGAGTATATTTAGATTTTTGTCTAAATTGAACCATATGTAAGCGAACCAAGGGGTATTTATTAACTAAATACCTACTTTATAAAGTACTTTACAAGTGGAATATTATTCTACTCTACGTAGTTAGTATAAATAGATAAATAATTGTGAAACATGCCCACAAGTGTAAACACTGTGAGCATATTTTTAATCTTCATATAGATACAATACATTACTATTTAAAGATAAAAGATATGTTCACAATAGTGACAAATTGTTTTTATTTTCAACCAACTTCAAATAGGAGAAGATTCTCAATTAAATTCAACTAAATTTGTAATACTGTTCGTCTACTGTAATTTTTTGTGTATATGTTATGAGATATTTTCAACATTTCTGAAACGATTTTGATTATTAAATTTTATCCGGAAGGATATCTTAAAGATATCATAACTTTGTATAAATATCATTTAATTTTGTTCAACTGACTAAAATAATATAGAGAGTCAAATATCCTAATATTAAGAGAATCTTTCACCATTATATTATTAAAATTTGGTGAGATAAATTTCTGTTACCTACAATAATAATTATTTTTATAGGTCGTCTCAATGTTTTGGCCAATGTCTGCCGTAAACCACTCCACCAGCTGTTTACCCAGTTTGCGGGTCTCGAAGCAGAAGATGATGTAAGTTGTTTATAAGCATATTAATATCTAATAGGTATTAGAAATATTTTCTAATTACAAGGAGCGTAGTTGTTAATGAACAAATGAAATCTGATACATTTCATTTCTCAATGATTTCTGTGATGACAAGTGTGAGCAATTTTTTGATTATAAAATATTTGCTAGCTGGAACTGACACTTGTTTTGATATTTCTAATTGCGTAATATGCATTTCACATTATAATTAAGTATAGGTACTATTTATTATGTTCCATATGTATGTAGGTAGTATATGTGTCGTCTGCGCTATGAATAGGCTAGGGGGCAGCGATATAGACTAGTAGGTGCATCAAAAATTGTAATGGAACTCTACTACGTAAACAGTACCGTAAGCTTTTCTTGTGATGTTTTTCCTTTGTTCTATAAGTTCTGATCCTTTAAAGGTATCGGTGAAAAGGACTTAATGCGGCCTACCGTTGAAACTTGAACATTCTCTTTTCGCTTGATCACATTCTTGGTTCATATTAGCCTGTGTTCGCTCGGGACAGCGTGGTCACATATCGTGTTATTATAGAAAAAAAAAAGAATTAGATTAAATTAAAAGAAACGTCAATTTGATATTATTTTTATTTGTCCCCTGTTCAATTTCGATCTCAATCTCAATTCCGATCTCAATTCAGTTGCGTCAAATCACTCCGCTGCAGCAGCGGCTCAAACTTATTACGACCATCGTTCATTTCAGGTCAATAAAGTTTCATGTGCTTACCTTCCAGGGTATATTATTATATTTTATCCTTAATTTTTAACTCATTCATATTGTTAGAAAAATTATAAAATTATGAAAATAAATAAAAAAAAAAACACTGCTTTTCAATCTTCACTAGACCGTTTTAACGCCCCTATATTTCCCTGTATCTTGTGTATTGCTTTTTGAAATATGTAAGTTTCCAACGCTCACAAGGGGCTGTTATCACTCACTTTGAAATAGACTGGTATAGATGGTACCAGGTTGCTAACTTGTCATGCGCCAATTTTACATCGTCTTTTCGCATCGAGTGCATATTTCTTATACTATAAATTATAACAGATTAGCTATAATAAACGGTAAATCTGATAATTTATAATACATGCGGGTCAGATGTCAACTATAATGAACCTTCAACCCCAGATATAGTCTGCAAAGTCTGATATGATAAAAAATAATTTGTTGTCACGTTGGTGATATTTTTTTGTATTTATAGATTTACTTTGTTCACCACGTGATTTAGTCTTCTTCGAAATCTAAATGGAATATAGTTAATGTTATATATATATATATATATATATATATATATATATATATATATATATATATATATATATATATATATATATATATATATATATATATATATATATCTTTATGAAAATATTCTCCAAAAGTAATCTCAATAGTAAACTTATTATAAATACAAACAATTATAAGAAAACATCACACTGAAATCCCTTTGCTTTCAAAGGGAAATTAATACGGTTTTCTAACAAGTATTTTATACCCGATTAGGGTATAAAATTTACGAAACATGAAATTGTTTTAATTTTGGTCGGTTGAGGAAGTTAATTTATTAGTTTCATATCACTGTTTTCAAAATATAATTTACATTGTAAATAAAATTTAAATTTTAAAGATCCAATAATTGTCTAGTTCTTCCCGCAATCTCTCTTTAGCAACTTTGTTTCGCTACTACGTTTTGTAGTAGAGTTTGGTATTTTATATTTGATTAACAAATCTTGTTACCTGTTGTAAAATTGAAGCATAACTATTGTTACAAAATAAAATGTACAATCTTATTATTAATATGTAAAATATAAATACCTATACTTAATATCGCAAACATTATATAATACCTAAAGATATTAATTTTAATTTCGCGGTGTCATAAATTTATTTACATTTTTGTTATTGTTTAATTAATTATAAACATAAAGATGAGTCTCTTATCTTTCTTTAACTAATTAGGTGTTCTGTTTTTACAACTGTCAGGTTAAAATTTATTTATGAAACATGAATCCGGGACCACATAGAGTGCAATACAAAATTTACAAATAAGAGAATTACGGTTAGTTATAACTTCAAACTTTTGTATGTTTTATCAGCTGCATTCACGTCTTCGCCAGTGACGACTCGCAACTGAGATTGATTGATTGGAATAAAATAGAAATAATCTTTGTACGTCTCTCTGTCAAACTTGTATGTCAGTTTTATAAAGATAGGTTAAGCCATTAGGACCAAGAAGTAACAAACAAATATAGAAATTCGCTAGCTGTATCCCGCGGCTTTACCCATGTGAATCAGTATACAAAGTACCTCATGTGCTAAGTTAGAATATAATGTACTCGTGTACCAAATTTCATACAAATCCGTAGTTTTTGCGTGAAAGAGCAACAAATATCCATCCATTGTTACAAACTTACGCATTTATAATAAATAAAATAAATAAATAAGAATGATAGGCCTGTTTAATATGGGCGTGGTTCTATTTGTTATTACAATGGTAAATTGACGTCATATCGATATCAAGATGATAACCAGATTCCGATTAGTACTCATATATCTTTCTTATGTGGAGCAATTAGTTTTATTTAATTCGGTTAATTATTTTCTATGCGGTTAAGAATAATTAATAAAGAAAATGGAAGTAAAATGTCTTCGAAATACTAGCGCTACTGAAGTATCATGAAAGTTTCGTAACAGCAATGCGAGAGTAAGATAGAAATTGAAAAAGGATATCATGGAAAGGATGTTGGACGAAAGGATAATGAAAAGAGAAAAAAATCGTGTTTGTTTTATTCGTATAATTAATTTGTGTATTATGCATGTAGTTGTTGTGATACGTCATGACGATATCAATATAGTGATCTATATGTATATATAAGTGAGCTTTAGAACGAGTATTTTTCCTTTAGCAGAACCTACATTTATTTTATATAGTTAATGGATAAATAGCAAATTGTGAGCGTACATATTAAAGTCTCGATGTAAAAAATGAAAAAGGCATTGTGTAATGAAGATTGGACGAAAGGATGACTATAGGAAAAAAGAAATTTCTCATTTGTTCTATAATGGACGTATGTATTGCGTAGTTATTATTAGACGTCATACAATAACAATATGATAACCGACTTCAGATTGTATATTTTTCCTTAATACACCGCGTCTAGTGTTATATAACTTATTACTTGTTCCTACGAGTATGCAAGCGAGAGTCGAGTTTTTAAATGGATGGAAATAGAATGCAAACCGTGCTTACGCTATTAGTTTACGCTTTTGTTTTTTTTTTATAATGGGTGAGAATGGAATGGTACTCCGTCTGCGCTATCGGTTTACGCTGGCGGGGTACTAGTGAGAGATGATAGGTGAGGATGAGAGTAATCAATTAGTTCATCGTAACACATTCCACGACAATTAACCAAGAGGGTTTCCAGGTGATAGGTTATATTGATAACAACGGGGCTGTTAGACACCATTTTTTTTTTATGGATGAAAATGGTATGGTAGCCCTGCCTTTGCTAACGGTATACGCTTGCGGAGCACCAGTGAAGGGTGATAGATGAGAATGAAAACAGGCCTATTAGCCCATCATGATCGAGGAGGTCGACCTGGTTAGGTATATTGTTAGCAATAGGATTCTCAGTCTCCATTACTAATAATTCCCCCCCCCCCCCGTTAGACACCATTACTAAAATACAATATAGCTGCTAGGTTGTTATAAATGTTTCTTCCCCCCCCCCCCCCACGCGAGTAGAATTAGATCTGTAAGAATGAGGACTGAAGTAGAATAAATGCAGTTGAACTGCAAGAATTGTGAAATGTTTGCGGAATAAGATTCGCATTTGCAGAGGAATATAACAGACTGTGTTTATAAAAAAGTATAGGTACTACAAGAGCAACTTGATTTGAAAGTGTTATTTGTAAAAATACGGGAACAATATTGAATGTTGAACATCGAGAAAAGTAAAGTTCATAAATTTTTATTTGTTCTACGACAAACTTGTGTATAGTGGGCGTGGTCCTAGTTGTTATTATAATGCTGCTAAATCAACGTCACAGCGATATCATAAACCGATAACGAATTTCAGTCTAAGTACGTATTGTTTCCCACACCACGCCTCATCTACCATGTCGCATCGATTTTATATCTGCGAATGTTTTGTTTTTGTTAGTAAATATGCTAAGTCATAGATTTAATATGACTATTCTAAAGACATCGTAATATTAATCCTCGATGAATTATATACACTTATCTATTATTAATACTGTATAAAGATTAAAGTCGTATTTTTAGCATTTTAGAATTATTAGTAATATGTGTACATAAATTATATTTTACTACTTTAATTTATACTTTATATTTCCATTTATTTCATTTATTTATTTTGTCAATGTCTATTATTATCATCGTATCAGCCTTTAACTGTCCACTGCTGAACATAAGCCTCCCCCTTGGGGGGGTTTTGCCATTAGTTGTTGCCAATGTTTATAATGCGCTGTAATTCGTGTTGTGCGTCATATATGTCGATTCTAATTAGTGCTAATAACTATATAGTTTCAACTCTCTTGAACTTTATGACGTATATTTTATAGAAAAAAGAAATAATTATACATTAATATCTGATAAAATAGTCATCTGTTACACCCGTGCGAAGTTTTGAGTTTCTGTTTCTTTCAGGGATCTGGTGACGTCAAATATCACTTGGGTACATACATTGAGCGGCTGAACCGAGTAACAAACAAGAACATTCGGCTGGCGGTTTGCGCTAACCCATCTCACTTGGAAGCTGTCGACCCTATAGTGCAGGGCAAGACCAGGGCTGAGCAATTCTACAGGGGTGACAATGAAGGCAAAAAGGTACTTTGTCTATGACTTTGTGTCATATTAGTAAGTTAGTATATAGTAAGGAATATATATATATATATATATATATATATATATATATATATATATATATATATATATATATATATATATATATATATATATATATATATATATATATATATATATATATATATATATATATATATATATATATATATATATATATATATATATATATATATATATATACTGACAGTTTGCCTTTTTTTTTGTAAAAGGAACCGTATTTCCTTAGATTTTTAAGTCGATCGGTGAAATGTTTTAGTGAATATGTTGAAGCCTCTTAAGTTACGATTTAGTAATATATTTAGTGATCTGTCATTTCACACACATTATCTTACAATTCACGGAGTATAGTTAAATATATATTTAAGGGATCTGGTGTGACAATATAGATAAAAGTTGTGATATTGGGGCCTTAATCAAAACAAACAAAGTTGTTATCATTTATGCAGTTAAAACATCGTATAAAATTTGATGTTTATTATCATTTACCATATTGAACTTTTGGGCCTCAGTTACTTTTTACTGTAGAGCCTGGTTCCATTTTTTTGATAATGTTATTGATATTAACAAAAAAGCTATTTTCAGACGATAAGAAACCAAAATAAAAATAGGTTTCATATGCTTTATCACTCTTGAGGAGTTTTTTAAAAGATAAAAATGGTATAGAAATCCGGCCTGCGTTATTGACATTGCACTGTTGAGTGCCAATAAAGAATGATAAGTGAGGATGCAGTCGAGTCAGTTAGCTCATCGTGACACTAGGAATTAATCACGATGGTTTCTACTGGTAGTTGATTATGTCTAGCTTGAATATACTTGATATTGCTAGCTATAGGGCTGATAGTCTTAACAATCTTCTTCTCACTTGAAGTTTGCATTGGTACACAGGGGCTTACTGTAAATTGTCAAATTTAAAATGTGTGATGCAAATAAAGCTTATTCCCTTTTCTTTAGCTGTTGAACAGCTGAAATGGGTAGGCAAAATGGTAGACATTAAAATATTGACATTGATTATACCTATCAGGTGATGTCTATCCTGCTTCATGGTGACGCCGCGTTCGCCGGCCAAGGTGTGGTGTTCGAGACTATGCACTTGTCCGACCTCCCTGCCTACACCACCCACGGAACCATTCACATCGTGGTCAACAACCAGATCGGATTCACAACTGATCCCAGGCACTCGCGCTCTTCTGCCTACTGCACAGGTTATTAATATTGTTGTTAATTAATTAATAATGAATAATGAATTATTATTAATATCTTTATATCATTCAGGCTTGAAAAATATGTACTTTCTCTAAAATAGGGTAGAAAGTCAGACGATAAATTAGAAGAGTACATCAACATACAGAGTTTTATTCTTTTTTGTATGTATGCTAAAGAAAACGTATCTGGTAATAGATATGTTTACTTTCTTCTAACGAGGGAGCTTACTTTACTATTAATTCAGTTTTAACCATTAAAATGTAACTGTGCACAGACGTGGCCCGCGTGGTGAACGCTCCGATCTTCCACGTGAACAGCGACAATCCAGAGGCAGTGATGCACGTCTGCAACGTGGCCGCCGAGTGGCGCGCTACCTTCCACAAGGATGTCGTTATTGACATCGTGAGCTACCGCCGCAACGGGCACAACGAGGTCGACGAACCTATGTTCACGCAACCTCTTATGTACCAGAAGATTCGCAAGACTAAACCTGGTATGTAAATTTCTCTGTAAAAAAATATAACCTGAATCCCATCCTCATCCTCCAATACGTGTGAATAAGTAGTGCCCTCTTGTAAGTCAAAAAAAGTTATCACTCTCAAATCTATAACAATATCCATACTATATTACACTATTTATGGAAGTCTGAAAGTCCTTCTGTATTACTACGTCATTCATAAAACATAGCAGCGTCCCTCTTAAAACATCTCCAAGGCCTAACTGTGGTTGCCAATCCCCCCGTCATTGCCAAGCATGGCAATTACTGGCAAAACCCCCCAGGCTTATGTTCAGCAGTGGACAGTTACAGGCGGATATGATGATGATAGATTAGTATAAAATTTGTCTTACTTCAAAGTTTATGTAGTCTTTTCATCGGTAGACGGCACCGCACCGCTTTATTTAATCGTGTTAAATAAGCAAACTGTTTATAGAACATTTTATTGTAAATTTTATATATTTATTCATAAAAACGCTTTTTATATAAGGTGCAATTTTTAAATCTATTTAGATGTAGTAAATCTGTTTTATATATTAATAAATACAACTTACAGTAATTTTTTGATATAATCTTTATTTTAGTCTTGGAAATATATGCTGACCAGCTAATCGCCGAAGGAGTTGTTACCGCAGAAGAAGTGAAAGATGTCAAGGATAAATATGAGAAGATCTGCGAGGATGCATACAATCAGGCTAAACAGGAAACACACATTAAATATAAGGATTGGCTTGATTCCCCCTGGTCTGGTTTCTTTGAGGGCAAAGACCCACTGAAGGTACCATATCAATTTATTAGAAAGAAGTTTATGATTTCACTTTATATTTTTGTATCTGTATACCACCTTTTCTTTTTAATTCTATGTAGTTTTCTCCTGTATGAGTCTAACTCTACTTATTTATTCAAAATTAATGTCAGTTTATTTGTAGAATATAATATTAGATTCTATTCCTTATAAGGAGCAAGGAGGTTACATATTTAAATGTGTTTTAGTTTGATATATGGTATTATGCAAAACTTTATTAAATGGAATGAATTTTCTACAGATGTCGCCTACTGGAGTTGCTGAGGAGACCTTGGTTCATATTGGCAAACGTTTTTCATCGCCGCCACCGAACGCAGCTGAATTCGTGGTTCACAAGGGTCTGCTCCGTATCCTGAAGGCACGAATGGAGATGGTAGAGAATCGCCAAGTAGACTGGGCTTTAGGAGAAGCCATGGCGTTTGGATCACTTCTCAAGGACGGCATTCACGTCAGATTGTCTGGAGAGGATGTTGAGAGAGGAACATTCTCACACAGGTAAATATGTTTTTATAAGCTGTAACCTAATCGGTGAATTGGCAATGGGTCAGCAATATAGCTCAAGCAAGTGAGGTGAAGCCTTGCAAGATGGAGTGATGATTTCAATAGTGTTGCAAGGCATTGTTTAATGCAAGTGACGCAGGATCATACTTAAGGCTTCATATATGAGATACCTATGTTCGACAGTGGACAATGAATAGGTTGTAATGATGATGATGATATGTATTACAAGCTCAATCTACTGGTGGTAGTCATAAAACTGAACAGCTTTCCTCAAAGAATGTGGTTCGATATAACAATATATAAGATATAGTTTGTATGTAGGGTTAAAAAAATATCTTTACCTATTATAGCTTTCAAGTCTGTTGCTTGGGGAAGTTTAATTTTATGAATGATATCGTTGATTGTCTTTATTACTCATAGTATAAATTAGGGCATAATAAATATTATTATTTAATTTTACATTGTTTAATATATTCTTTTTTCAGACATCACGTTCTCCACCATCAAAAAGTTGACAAGGCCACTTACTGCCCACTGGCACATCTCTACCCTGACCAAGCTCCATACACTGTTTGTAACAGCTCATTATCTGAATATGGTGAGTATATTATTTTTTATTTTGATCAATAAAAAATATTTATCTAGTTAGTGTTACCACAGAATATATAATAACAACTCAACTCAAATGTCTTTTTTTTGTCATAAAAGTTCTCGTGACTATGTCTTTCTCAGCCATAAGGTAGCCTGTTATCAATTTTGTTTAGCTGCATCTGAAATAGATATTTAAAGATTGGATGTTGATTGTTGTATTTTATTATTCATATTTGAGATATTCCAAGGTTCTATTGTATGCATATACACTTAATAGTGTATTTGCATGTGCATGCATAGTGGGAGGGCACCTTTCACATAGTTTTTCAGTAAGATGTTGTTATTCGGTGTTCTTATTTATTTTATTTTCGGTGTTAATATTATTAGAATATGTTTACAGTGTTATTTGTCTTATAGGTGTATTGGGTTTCGAAGTGGGATATTCAGTAACCAACCCAAATGCTCTGGTATTGTGGGAGGCACAGTTTGGAGATTTCAACAATGTGGCGCAGTGCATCATCGATCAGTTCATCTCCAGCGGACAGTCTAAGTGGGTGCGACAGTCTGGCATCGTATTGTTGCAGCCACACGGTATGGAGGGCATGGTCAGTATAAGTTTTTATATGTATTTACGAAAAAGTATTTCTATCAGTTGTTTAGTACCCACTAGACAATATCTATTTAATTAAGGATTTGATCACGCTGTGCCCAGTTGTAGATAGATACTCTTTATTGTTCCCTCCAAAAGGTAATATTAATAAAAAAGAATATTTATATATATATTTACCTATTATTATATGAATTGAAGGGGCAAATGTGCTGATGACCCGTGTGATGTAAAGTATGAAATGTAATTAAGATGTAAGTAAGGAAATACTTGTGGTCTGTAGGTATGGCTTTTTTAAATAGACGTCTACATAAAGCGCTATAGATCAATGCAAGAAAATAAAAACTGAATAAAACTATAATTAGCCTTTAAACACTTGTAGTATGGTTAATATCCTCTTCCAAGGGGTATCTGGAATGACCAATATCATTGTTTAGCCTATTTCAGCAATGTAACACTGTTGATAATTGCAGGGCCCTGAACACTCTTCGGCTCGCTTGGAGAGGTTCTTGCAAATGAGCGCCGATGATCCAGACTACATGCCACCTGAGAGCCCCGACTATGAAGGTTGGTTATCGCCATTTACGTAATTGAAATTGTGAAGGTTATAACAATTAAATTTAATATAATTAGTAATATGTATATGTGTAGTATATGTACTATGTTAGTAGATACAAATACTAACCATTGCCTAATAGAAATATCAGTTTATTTATTAATATAATGAAATTGCTACTAGATAACGTTTATATATGGAAGATATTTAAGAAAAAAGATATAAATGTTAAATAAAGCTATAAATAAAGCTATATAAGGGATCCTGATAAGTGCAATAGAAGACCAGACAATAATAATTAGAAATTTTGTCTGTTCTGGTATCACACAAAAACTATCAGATTAAATACGGTTATCATAGTTGTGATCGTGAAGGTCAAACTTAAAATAGATCACTTCTAGGTTAAGATAAAATGTATACCAGGTATGGTTTATCTTGATCCGCCGTCTTGAAGTACTTCATTTAATTTTTCTTCTGAAATTCACGCGTACAAAGTAATAAACAAAAACTAATAGACATGTCTATGACTAATTTTATGTAGTATTTTGTGTAGTATATATTGTATACTTATAAGTGATGTAGATGCTTTTCAGTCTAGACTTCTTATTTTCTCATTTAGTTTTTTTTATAATTGTAACAAAAAAAAGTTTGATAGATAAGGTAGTAATAGAAAGTGATTGGCTCTTGCGTCACTACTATATCTATTACGAGGATGTGGGGGAGTATGGATTGTTGGTAATGGGAGTTAGTAGCACCATTGCTAGCAATATACCTTGGCAAGTTAAAATCCTCGTGACATTTCTTGAAATTGTTTGTTAGATACAAACAATTTCAAGAAATGTCACGAGGTTTATAATAAATTTACTAATCTTTTGGATGAAACAATAAAGAGTATCTATCTATCCTAGTGGTTCCTACTGGAAACTATCGTATTTAATTTCTAGAGAATTTATCACGATGGATTAATGAACCTGTCTTTTCATACTCACCTATCATCCTCCACTGGTGCCCCGCCAGCGTATACCGATAGCGCAGGCGGGGTTGCAATCCTATTTCCATTCACAAAAAACAAAACCTGGGTGCTTAACAACAATTCTAGTCTATGTGCTATTGTTTTTTTTATGCTACTTAGAATGACAAACAAGCTGATATTTTATTAACAATATGTTATGGTTAATAAAAGTTTTTCTATTTTTTCTTTATCAGTGCGTCAACTGCATGACTGCAACTGGATTGTGGCGAACTGCTCGACTCCTGCATCCTATTTCCACATCATGCGTCGCCAGATTGCGTTGCCGTTCCGCAAGCCTCTCATCCTAATGACTCCCAAATCGCTGCTGCGTCACCCTGAATGTAAATCCTCGTTCGATGACATGAACGAAGGCACCGCATTCAGAAGGTATGAATATTTTTTTCTTTTAAATGTGTCATATCTGTTTACATAAAGTGCTGACAGATTCATGTGGTCTAGGAACCCGATACTAAATCAGTTCAAATATGATAGAGACCAATTATATGCCATAACTCTATTAATTAGATATCCTATGTTATTATTGTTCATTATAATATTTGTATCTTCTCAGTTTGTTGGAATGTTATTGTGCAATATGAAACATCTTTTTTGTAAAATAATGATTCTGTTATCAGTTGATTTCGTAAAGCTATTCGTAAATCACATTTAAGCTCTTTTTTTATATATATATTTCAGTTTCACCATTCAGTCAATATAAATTTGTACAATGTGAGGTATTTTTATGTAAATACAGAGTGATCCCTGAAGAAGGTCCAGCATCCCAGAATCCGCAGAAAGTACGCAAGCTGGCATTCTGTTCAGGCCGCGTCTATTATGACTTGCTTAAAGAGCGCCGTGACAGAGGACTGGAAGGCGACATCGCTATCGCTAGGTATGATATATTTTTAAGATTTAAATAAAATTGTAACTCCACTTGTGCTATATGTATATGTGACTTTATTTGTTATAAAATTATGTCTTAGAGTTTAATTTTTTAATCAATTTTATATTTATAAGATTTTCTTTCATAAACAAAAATCAACTACAATTAGGATTAATTCAGGTTGAGAGATCAGTGTACGGGTGTATTGCACGCATTCTGTAATAAGAATATTCTATATTTGCAAAACAAGTTAACGAATTTCTTTATCATAAATTAGATTGGAGCAAATCTCGCCGTTCCCCTTCGATTTAGTCAAGGCAGAAGTTGCCAAGTATCCTAACGCTCAGCTAGTATGGAGCCAAGAGGAGCACAAGAATATGGGATCATGGAGCTATGTCGAACCACGCTTCCGCACCCTCCTGCAAAACCAGAAGCAGATTAGGTGAGTGCTAAATTAACATACTGCTATTAATTGAGAATTTGTTTCTTTATTTTGTAATCTAACTGAAGTAATTTTACGTGTCAATAAAGTAATTAACGATATAGTTATATAATCTTTGGAGAGTACAGTTTTATTGTTGGTTTAGTAGTATTTGTAAGTTATATAACATTTTGTTATATTTGATACCTATATTTGATTGAAATATCGTTATAAAATATATACCATTGAAGATTATGTAAACACATTTAAAATAGATACGTTATTGGTCTAAATAACATTTACTTAAAAATCATTGTTAAAAGAATATAAAAATACAAATATAAATTAGTTGTGTTGCAACGAAACTGTTTAGTATTATTTATTTAGGTTAAAAAAATAATATATTTATACTGCATAGCTTGCAGCTTTTACGGAAACATATTGGTATTGCATGGATTTTTGCCTGTACATTCAACATAATCGCGTCAAACTGGGAGATATTTTAAAAGTGTACTGCTGTCATATACTAACGTACGTTATGCCATAACCTAACTGGCTATTGGTTGCAGGGCAAAGTCCCAATCCAAAGGTTGGTTTAGTCAACTTTTCGGCAGTGGTCAGGAGCCTGCCCCACAAACTGAATCGGCAACTGAAACAGTGCCGCGCACCATTAGGTGAGACAACGGCATAGCATCTATATAATGATACAATGTTCTATGGTTGTAGTAATAAATTGTTAGGTTTTATGAGGGGGTAAATATTGAATTGTTAGTGAAATAGTTCCACTTTCTGCGAATAACTTATGGTAATTTCCCATAGCAAAAACGGCCTTAATACATTATGTATACGTTATATAATCTAACAGTTACTTTCTTTTTTTACTCTTTCCTATTTATGTGCAGAATATTTCAGGTGAAAATTTGTAGTAGATACTGCAAATATTTAATGAAACGAAACATGCCATTTCGTTATTCATATAAGTAATAATATAGTTTGAATTTCGTGACACCAATAGCCAGTTAGATCACACAGCTTTTTTTATTATTTACGGGGTATACATCTCAAACTGCATGCTACTATTTTTAATGATGTGGTCTTAAAATTTTGCTTTGTTTGCTTTATAAATAAAATTCATTCAGTGGTTAATTCTTAATTATTACACTATACGCTAATATTCATGGTGAATACATCATTCTATTGTACGCTGTTTTTTGGGTTTAACCACGTCACGGTAAATTTAAACTGCAAATTACGATAGATACTTAAACAAGTATAATATATAAAATTTCATATCGCACATATTTGTACTTTCGTATTTCAATTAAAGCTATTATAAATAATGATTTATTATGTATATTAATTATTTCTCCTGAACAGAATATATTTTATGGGATATCATGAAAATATGCCATATCAATAAAAACTAAAACATTTTACAAATTTATTTTAATTAATTAGAGTGTTTTGTTATTTTTTCAATGTAATTTAAAATGATAATCAGGCTGACGGTTAACCTTATAAAAAATGGTAACCGGCGTTTTTAGAGATATTTAATATCATGTACATCACATAATATACTCCGATGTTCGTGTTTCCTTCGACTTTTTTTTAAAGTGAAAAATTAGTGCAAGAGGAAAAACAAAACACTGCAATAATTAAAATAGAGACGAGCTAGATTCGATGTTTTGATGGTTAAAACTACCGCTACACTCATTTAATATAATAAAATTCTTAATATACGAGTATTAGAAACATATTTCTGTTATCGCTGATCCATTATAAAGATTTTTTTAAAATATATATTGGTGTGTGTAAAACTTTATTCTTATATATAACCATTAACACCCTTATAAAAATAAAAGCTCTTTTATATTACGAATTTAATTTGAGTAAAAGAGACGAAAAACATATAGCTAAAACTCTTAGGCTTAATGATCAATTTTGTATAAAATTGTCAAAAAATATGTTAATGTATTCTGTTTATTTCTAATGGAACCTACTAGCTTGTAATGTTGATGAAGTATTTTGGTTTTGAAGTATATACCTAAGTAACTATCAAATTAACATAATTTTTTTTGTATGTTTCAGTTACAACGGCAGGGCGACCGCTGCATCGCCAGCTACAGGATCGAAGGCCGCTCACAACAAGGAACTGAAGAATCTTCTCGACGAATTCTGCGTATTATAAGCGACTTCACTGCACACGCTTACATTTGGCTTCGATACGAATCGCCGATGATAGTTTAGTAACCCAATATGCCATAGAGTATAAACGAAACGTATCTAAATCATCAGTAGGTACAATCCAAACTCGAAACGGAATTTATCTTTGACTATATTAATTTTTACCGAAATTATATTTTTCTCTCCAACATAACTGTCAGTATTTGTTGTAATTCTCCTCACGATTAGCTAGAGTAGTTAGATAAATTCTAATTTATTTATTTAATGTAGCATAATATGTGGCGTAGTTTGTAACGTTATTTATTTTGGTACGTAAAGCAATATTCAGCTATGTCTGTTACATTACCTTTGTAGTAATTAGCTATGTGCAAAACGGTGTAATTTATTTATGACTTAGAGTAGCGTCATTTACGCTTGTTATTTTTTGTAAATAAATATTATAATGTTATTTTTTTATTTTATTAACACATTGGTGGATTTATTTTTGGATGGTTTTAATATGGAGCAAATTTTTCGCAGAGTTACATAATAGGCTATTCCTACGTATGCCATGTTAGTCTATATATGAATATGGGGTTGTTTCGCACTAATGCTCTTTACGTACCTTTGTACTAGTCTGGAAATAGTCTTGTATCAGTGACTAATGTGAATATCATTCATTATTACCGCTACCAGTGTTGCCAGATGCGATGTTTTATTTCGCCTCAATTTACAAATATTTTTTTCTAGAATTGAATTTATTTTTTATTTTTACTCAATCAAAAACGTGGTTCGGTTTTCATTGTTTTACCATATTACCGTTATGCGAACGAAAAAAACAACACCGGTCTAAGTTGACTTTTTTATTTTATTGTTACCATTCCAAGTGCACTTCGTTACCTGTATTGGTATATCCTGTGGACCAAAAAATTATTCTAATTTCTTCACATCTATTTTATTTTTCTTTGAAAATATTTTAACAATTTAATTTCTCCAAAAAATTGATTTCTTTAACATTTCGTTGACATAAATTTTTTTACTAAAAATTGCGAAATAATATCAAATCTTGCAACACTGACCGCAACACTAGTGTAACAGTGGTACGGGTATCTCGCCAGCAATTATTAAATTTGTCTTGTTGCTGTATAGTATATTATACAGTATACAGAATTAAGTCTAAATTTGAATAATAAGTTGTTTGCTGCGTCGGAGTGGTATGGTTATAATATTGACATAAAATTTTTCACTGATGCGAAACGCAATCTTTAAACATGTTATTGTACATTTTAGAGTTTTCGTGAGGCTGTTAAATATCTGTTGTAATTCTGCTATCGTGCTACTATACCTAGTTTTTATTCAAAATCGTATAACGATATTATATGAGATATTATTAGGTAATATTACAATTTATCGGTATAGTAAATTGCACTGTAGTCCGTAAAGCACATTCGTATAAAATTATTATAGTAGCCAACGATTATTTATCGTCACTATGGTCGTTATGTTTTGCATCCGGCCGCATCTTTGTATAGATTTAGTTCGCTCATAGTTACCGCCGTTCTAAACGGCTCGTGTAAGGAATAACACCAAGGCCCATCGCTTTGTATAAACCATATTGCATATTGTCTACGAGTTTGTTGTTACCTATTCTGTATGTAGAATTTAATACTTTTCCCTTTAAGGAGAATCGGCTGTTCAAATTTATAGTACATTGTTTTCTTATTATCGTTAAGAGGTCACATTTGCTAAGAAGCGTAATACCGCAATCTCCTATCCCATTTTGTTGGTATTGTTATCATTTTATAATATTTTAAAACACATAAATTGTTCATGTTTAATTGTTTATATTGGTTATAATTATAACAAATTTCTTTTTAAATTATTCTTATATGTAATTTAAACAAAGATTTTATAGTACATTGACGTGCTATGACAAAATTATTGAATACATTTTGATGAAATATTTCGAAATTATCTATATAGGTATCTTGATTGATAGATTGACAGATTTATCAACAAACTGTTGAGGTTAGAAACTTTTTTAACGTAAGTGTATACAATCCTTTTATGAATATATAATCTAAAAAAGCCAAAAAAATCTCAGGATTGCGTTATAACTCTTCGCAAATTTAGTCTCTTAACTCTGTTGTTGTCCATTTGATTTGTCTCTATTAAAAATATTATATGTATTTGAAACTATTTAGCTTTGTAACACTATTCGCATATATAATGCACTATTTATCGTTTAAAACGTATTATTTTGATGTTAGCATATTTTCGATTATAGCTCGGAAAGTTTGAAGAATTGAATGTCAAAGGGATTTGAATGTTAGGATTGTTTGATAGGCAGGAAACGCGAGCTAATTTAACGATACGTTAGTTTGAACTATTTAATTTACAATACAACATACAAGAAAATCGTTTGTTTTAATTATCACATACCTTTTTCCTATTTTTATTTCTTTCCTCATGTGTAGGTAAAAATTGTATATGTATAGTGAGATTGAGAATAGGAAATGTGAAATTTAACTTCATTTAAATAATAAATTTTAATAATTATATATTTTTATTTTTATCAAAGTAATTCTATAATTGAAAAATTATGACAACTAGTAATAACAATTTATATATTTATATTATAATATTTATAATTATAATAGAAAAAGATTATATTTTTTGTCAATTGTTTTATCGTGGAGCGTACAGTACTTTTTAGATTTTAATTTCTATCAGAGCTATTATCGACTTACAGAGAAATGCTGTCATGCGATGTACACATTGTATGTAAGTAGTAATACAATAAATAAAAAATAAACTTTTTAATAATATAAAATAGAAAATTTATACTGTGAAATTATCTTTATTTTTTTTTGGTAGGGAGTAGGTACTGAATTCTTAAATTGACAAGTCTTGAAGTGGGAAGATACGACTGTCTTTACATTAAACATATTATATACAGAGTGTAAGGGACAGGTTGGCAAAAATTTATAATTTAGACTATTAATCTAAACTGAAAAATAGTAGAGATTCTTTTCAGGAAATTTCTTATTTTTTTCATTTAAAAACATGTAATATATGATATTATGACATAACATAAAGAAGTAATAATATAGTGAAATACTGTGAAATACCGAAAAACAACAATATAATACTTATTAAAATCCTACCGCAATGCGTGCAATCAGCTTTGTAAGGTGAACGCCACAAGCGTACGAAAACTACCTACGAAGAAGTGCTATTGACCGTGCGATACCTATATATCACGCGTCGTGTGGATCGTAAAATTTCAAATATATTGCTTGGCGTTAAAACTAAGAATTGTTAATTATATGACTATGGTGCAGTTCCGGTGGGAAAATAAACTACCATCTGATTCGGACCTTTCATCTAAATCAGTTCTTATCGTTTTGGCTAACCTGCCCCATCCATTCTATATATTATTATAGGAGTATATAATTTACTCTGAAACTAAATTGATGAACTGAGTCGTAATTAAATAATAATGTATTAAATAATAGGTTTAGTATTGAAAAGCGCAATAGATCAGTGCGCCCTTGACGAGTTTGGTTGACACGGCTCACCACACACTTGGAGCACTTTCAAGATTCTTATCTTTCGCTAGTCTCATTTCAGCTTACAAAGCGTTCCCGGCGCCCTATTTATAAACCGCTTGGCTAGCGTCGAGCGCCCAGACCACACGAAAAGGTGCGAAGATTAAAGATCGTATCAGTGACAAGTGCGTTTTGCACGTCACGCCAGTGACACCGCAAAGACGCTCTTGTTTGTATAGGCATGCTGCGTATTGCGCTTCATTCTACTTTTTTTTTTAGATTTTGAAACAGATAATTTCTAGCATGCGGGTATGTTTTTTAATGACCCTTTCACGTTTTCAGTACAGGTACATATAATCTCAGCTATACTAACCTTACATATTACATAGGTTAGCTATTGGTGTATATAATAATTCCGGAGGTTACTGACCCCTTGAAAAAGGTGCATATGCACTCTCAAGCATGTCTTCGCATAGCTGAAAGTTTCATTCAGATTTTGGGCACTGGATTGTGGGCACGGCCATCCCGGACTCGGGGGACAAGGGATTGTTAGTAATGGGAATAAGAACCCTATTTCTAACGTATAACGTTAGTAAAACCATCCTAATTGATTTATTGTTGAATTCGTCATGGTGCGCCAAGTAACCTGCTTCATCCTCACCTATCTCACTGGTGCTCCGCCAGTGTATACCAATAGCGCAGACGGAGTTACCGTTCAATTAAAAAAATCGTTCCGGTCCCTTGTAAATATGTCTACGAATCTAGCCAGTGCGTTAGAATAGATCTGCTATAAGCATAATATACCTACTTAAATGCGGCTATGATAATACTATAGTTTTATGATATATGTTTATGTTTTAAATCGCATAGATGATTACCGAATAAAAAATCTGTACCAACCCATCGAATCCAATAAATTTCGTAATAAATTTTTTTTGTCATATATTTCATAGTAGATCCTTATCGTTTTGATTGTAGACCAGTAGGGTGGTAGTGACATAAAGAATTAGGTAAGTAGTATAACGTACTACGTACATTTTATAATATATGTTTTTTTTTTATGGATGATAATGGAATGTTATTCCCGCCTACGCTATCAGTATACACTGGCGGGGTATCAGTGAGGGATGATTAGTGGAGGTGAAAAGGCAGGTCAGTTAGTCCATCGTGACGAATTTAACGATAAATTATTCACGATGGTTTCCAGGGGTTACCGCGTGGAGGTCGACCTGATCAGGTATATTGATAGCAATGGGGGCTAACCTCCCAATTACTAACAATCCCTTCTCCCATATTATCTATAGCTAGGTACGTACTCAATACACACAAAGAACAAGCATTTATTCGTAGTTACATAATTCTTGCGAATATAATAAAAGTAACTAATTGTAAGAAATATAGATATGAGAGATCTTAATGAGAGCAATAGAAGCACAAATAAGTGTCAATTTTAGATTTTTTGTTTGTTTGTTTTTTTTCGACGTCACGCAAATACTACTGAATTGAATGTGATTTCTTCAGTTGTTTTCTTTAAATCTGGTGTAACGTCTAAGTCTAAACTATTTAAAAGTTGTTATTTTCATAATTAATACGTATGAAACAAAAATAACTTTTCATAAGAAATACGATATGAGGTATTATACTTGATGTATGAAAACTGAAGATTAATATCATCATGTTATCCGTTAGCTATTCATTGCTGAATAAAAGTTTCGCCTTTGGGGGTTTTGCCAGTACTTGCCACGATTGGCAGGCGGGTTGACAACTGCAGTTAGCCTTTAGTGATGTTATAAGAGGAACACTGCTGCCCATCCCTCGACCATTAAGTGCTTTTAGTGACTTCTTACGATACTTAGAGGAATGGAAGGGATGGCTCATATGCTGAGACCACACAGTGGTTAATATACTTAAGTGTAATAATATATTATATTTAATTATTTGTATATAAACAACCACCATTTACTCTACTTGAAGACGAATCTGAGGGGTGGTGACGGCGCCGAACTGCGCGAACGCGAATATTCTATAAAACATCCACTAAATCTAAACAAAGAGATTTCGCTTAAAACTAAAATGACATCCGTGAAGACTGCAATCTGCAGAAGTAACAGAGCACTTTGTGTTGTTTCAGAGTCAGAGGCTTAGCTCCTTTGTTTTCTAAAACATCTCGGAGCTCCTTTTAATACTTTGTGATAGCAGTACGAGTATAAATTCTGTGTGGTCTGGCGATGTGTATGTTGAAATGAGTTTCCGAGTACAAGTAGTAGGTAGGTTATACACATACACATAATTAAGAATTGTATAATTGCAAAAAAATAAGAAAAATTAAAGAAAAATAGTATAGCAGACTTTTTTACTTTTTGACTGCCGTAAAAACTAATAATACAAAATAGGTACAAGTTGATAGGTAATTTGAACTATTTTCAACTAGCTATTTTTTGCGGCTTTGCCCATGCGAATTAGTAAATAAAATATCCTTTGTTTTAGAATATAATCTACCCGTGTACAAACAAATTTCATTCAAATCCTTTAAACCATTTAAGCGTGATTGAATAACAAACATCTATACAAACTATTATATTTTAGTAGGATTTAAAGACTGTTAGCATCTACAGCTCGTGATATTTCTAGTGCTACAGGCTACGGTAACTCCGTTTATTAATGGGATTACTAGTAATGGAGACATTCATGTCTATTGCTAGCAATATACTCTGTCAGGTCCACCTTCGCGCAGTTCACTAGTACTCCGCCAGCGTATATCGACAGCGAAGGCGGGGTTGTCATTCCATTACAAACATGTCATAATGCGCTCTTTTTTAAATAAAATTATTTCATTCCTATTTCATTATTGTTACCCCGCAGATTCTTTGCAGCGCTCGTACTTACATTAACTGTATTTTATTTATTTTACTTTCGTTCTCTTTTTATATACACAACTTCATTTTTTATATAGCAGCGCAGGGTAAATGTTGAAAAATCAAAATAATAACCTAGGTAATGACTAGGCAAGCCTTTATGAGGCAATTGAAGCATATTTATTACTTTCATGTTGCGAGTATTCTATGAACATTACATTGTCGGTTGCTTCGTGTAGAAAATAAAACGTTGTACTTAATGTAACGTAAAGTGTCAAGTAAGCTTCTAATACACCAGGTGAACCATATTGTTTTTTATTTGTTATACTTTTTATTAAGGTGTTTTTATTTAATTCAATACGAGTACGTAGCAGTTAACTTATTCGAACCAATATAATAGATCTTTTTAGTGTTTCATAATGCTACTGTGTAGTGTTTAGCAACAAAGGACAAATAATATCAAAATAAGAAACCTGGAGTTTCTTAGTTGTAGGTATTTATCGTTTTACTGAAATCTGTTCAGCTGTTTCATAGTAGGTAAATATGTAGGCTCCTACTTAATAGTCGTATAGATATTAGTGGCTTTCTTTTAAATTAATTTTATAATTGATTATAAAAATAATTTAAAAGAAAATTATTGTCTGTTTATAATTGATTATTTTAGTGCGAAGTTGGAGCGGATTGAATACAAGTCTTTCGTACATAAAAATATATAAATGTTAGCAAATCTCGGATGAAAATCCGATGCGTGATTTAGAAAAAGATACTATTTATAGATTTCTAACCTTCGTAGATAATTTTCATAACAAAAAACCTTAGAAACGAATTTTGTTATCTATATTTATAAAATCGTCTGTTTTGACAATTAACAGACAGTTAAATTACTATGTAATCTACTAAGAAAGCTGAAATTTGGTACATATGTTTATTTTAAAAAGTAAGCATTCGCTAAGAAACTATTTTTAAAATTTCAGTTTAAAGAGGAAACGTGACACCACGCGTTGTTAAACGT